TTCTCCTAGAGAAGAACCATTCTTTATTGCCGAAAAGCAAATACCAACGCTTACATACATCCCTGCACACGTCATGATTTATAATGGGTACCCGGAGAAGGCAATTGAGGGCCACATCATCAGGCAGTCCGGGAATCAGAGGACCCCCCATGAGAGCCAATTCAGTGTCTGAAGATGGATCTTGTAGAATAGAGCCCGTCGGAGCTAACCTAAACTTCGGGGACAATGTCATTTGGGAATCCCCTAATCTATGAACAGGAAATTGATGAGAGGATACACGCACCCTTTGCATAATTAGCAACCTTCACATAATAAAAATTACAATACAAGTCATTCTTTTGAACTGCAATTTCTTCCACACTTGTCTATATTTGAAAGCACCCCAAATACTTAACTTAAAATTCAAATCCAATCCCAGAAAATTCTTAATCACTGCACAAACCCTTATTCTAAATGACAAAGAACCCCAAAGGAGAGCTTAAACAAACCTCCATCTCTTCCTAGCGGAAAAGTACATCAGACCAATCCCAGATAGCCACAGCTACCATAATACTATTTCTCACTTCAACCTAAAAAAAAGCTCTATCAAATGAAAGTTTTGAGCACATCACCGCAAAATGCAAACTTTTGATCGATTAAGTACAAAAGAACCCCATCTGAATTCAAATTGTTGAACTTTTTTACCTCAATTCATATGCTTCGTACTAAACTCAGTACTTGAAAAAGATTAACACCGACATCAAAGTTTTTGGTACAGAAACAAGAGAGCAAAAGATGAATGGATAAATCTTGTACAAAATAAGGAAGCAAGGTAAAAAAAAAACTTACAGATTAAATATGTTGGCACTGGAAGAAGCAGAGGAGGAAGAAGACGACTGTTCTGTCTTATGTGAAGGTGAAAACTGAAAAGGGGGATCTTTTTTTCCTTTTCGTTTTCTTTTACATTTCAGCTTCCACAGATTTCAGCCTCAGAACTGTATGTGCAAACATGGTTCATGTTTCAAGGAAAATAATGAAATAAGGACTGCTACTCTCACGCTCCATCTGAGAGCGTCTTATATACTCGACTTTTTTTTTTCTTTTTTCTTTTTTTGGTACAAGAGGGCCGGGCATTATCTACGGAAATACTTATCCCTTGGCAAAAGAAAAATTTATATTCCGTACAAGAGTGACAATGAAACGAGGATTTCCAGATTTGTCAACAGTCTTTTAGGTAGACATATTTTGGTATTTTTTGGATGACATTTTTAGATGTGTCTCGTTGTATGGATTTATTTTGAATAAATTCAGTAATTAAATAAGCGATTGAGTGACACCTAATCTAATTTATTACCCGACCAACCATATTTGATAATACTCAAATAGGCTATATTGATTGATTTTATTGAAGTATATGAAATTTTGACTGAAATTGTTGGATTGTTTGATTTATGAAAAAATTATATTATAAAATATATTTTATTAATAAAATAAAGAAAACATTATATGTAAAAACAACAAAAATAATCATTTACAGTACCTTCAGTTAATAAAGTCAGAAAAATACCCAAACTTTACCTTTTCTTATTATGAACAATTCAGAGTGCGAAATCAAGAGTTACGTGTTTGGTAAGAAGTTGGCTCATAAAGGCCTCCAAGTTAGACAGAACAAGAGCCGTTTTGTGACCCCATTTTGCGATTTATCATGCTTATCAGTCAACTTTTTCATCAAACACATAACTTTGACTTCACGCGCTGCATTGTTTAATAATAAGAAAAAGTAAGATTAAAGATACTTTTGTGACCATATTGGCTCAAGTTATTGTATAAGACCATATTAGTTATTTATCATAATTTTTTGCTTTATTTTACTAATAAAATATATTTTCAATATAGTTTTTTTCTTAAATCAGCAGAATCAGCCAATGTAACCAATTCAGGCAAAACTTAATAGGTTTCAGTAGAATCAGCCGATTCAAATGATTTTAATGTTACCAAACGGACTCTTAATCTTTAGAGTTGAATAGACCAGGGGGTGTGTACATCTAATTTTTTTACCCATCAACATTAAGACATGGTGAAAACAGTTTTTTTAATATAGAGTGGGGTTTCCATGAAAGTTGATGCTTACTCAATCCAGAACATAATGCTACTCTATTTATATACAAATTTTACTTAAAATAAAAATTTTACTTGAAATAAACTGGATGATCCCGTTTTAGGCTTACAACCATAATAGTCAATTTTTTCACCAAACAAATAATTTTTTATTTTGTGCGCTAAATTGTATAATGATCAAAATAAGTAAAGTTTAAATTACTTTTCTGGCTGAATTGTCTAAAGTTAATATCAAGGAAAATTTTAGCTATTTTTTGTATATTTTTTATAATTAAATATATGAAGTTTATTAATTCTAGCTATAGTTACTTTTTTGTCAAAATTGACTGAAGTTGCTCTAGAAGACAATTTTAGCTATTTTTCATATTTTTTTAAATTCTTACTCAATTTTCATAAAACTTGGCCAAATTTCCTTTTAATCGTCTAAAAAAACTGCAATTCAATTTCCATTAGAGTATGAGTACGTGATTAAAATAATTTCTCTCCACTACATAAATGTCAACCAAATATTTTTAACTTTATTAACCTACTTGCAAGTCAAACTAGACAAGGTTTTGTAAGACGGGATATTACTTATAGATAGTATAGGAGTTTTAAGGAGTTTAAAAAAATTAAACGCCATCGTTTCCAAAAAGCGGGACTAATAATATGAAGGAGACCATAATTACTTGTTACTTTGATATTTTGTCAATTGAACAATGGCAAATACGAAGCTTGTGATTAAAATAAATGTAATAGAAAAATGTGATTGTTTGTATTTCTGTTACTATAAAAGTAACTTCATTGTCGGTTTAACTTCACACCATAGTGATCATAACGTTTTCCGCATAATAACTTCAATCACGTCTTTTATTCATAATATGAGTCAAAAAACTTCTTTCTTCATTTCAAACATACATTTGAGTAATCATTTTTAGAGAAAACAAATTCTTGAGTCATGATCATATTCCATAGTCCATACCAAAAACGTCTTATTAATCTATTGTAGAATATACGAAGTACTACGTATATAACATCCCAAAAAGAATGATAATCAAGATATTTGAACAAAAACAATCTTTTGAAAGACTTTAGAGTTTACTCTAAAAAACATTCTGGATGACTCTACACCATTACATACAAGAGTTTAGAATTATGTCCAAAGCATCTATATTCGTCTCAAAAGAGTTCAGAATTTAATAGATAATTCAACAATATGCTACGTACATCTTGGGATTTATATGCATCTAACTCTACAAATATAAATTCTATTGATCTTTCTTAGCTAAGAACATTTTATTCATTAGTATTCTTTGCTTGAGTTGAAGGAGTAGCATTTGGTTCTCCAAAGGCGACGACGAAGGGTACTATCATCTTATTGGTTTTTGTAGGAGCGTGATACTACACGATTAAGTAGTAGAATTGGCTATTGTGATAAAGTTTAATTTGTCTTAGAGCGAGGGTTTAAGGTTTAGTCTTTTCGAATGCTTTATTTAAAATGCAAGTCTTTTTTAACCACTTGTTTTAAGCTTTTATTAGGCTACAAATTCGTTTGAGACAACATTTTCCCCCTTTGTACAAGTTTCTTATATATAGCCGGGGTGTTTGGAAAGTGGTGCTTCGACCAAAAAATGACGGTGTGATCCATTTTAACATGTTCAATAAATGAAAACATTGTTTGTAAATAGCTGTTCGGTCCAGCGTTTTTGAACAGAATCGCTGAAATGAAAACGCTGCAAATTGGAGAGTTTTGAGTTAGCGTTTTGAAAAATGACGTTTTCTATTAATTTTTATGGCAAAACTGCTAAATTATTAAATATCTTCTGACAACCTGCCAACTTATTCCGCTAGTCAAACCAGCTTACTGAATCCACTGTTGACAACTCGCTAACATAACTCGATATTCGCTAGCTAACCGTTAAATGCCAAATATGCCCATAATTTTACGAAATGCAATTTAAACACAATGCGCATTTTAAAGCTACCCTAGTACATGCCCGAGGACTGCTCAGGTCCAGCCGGAGGGACGGGAGCAGCCGTCTGAACTCCGCCATTTGGGGCGGTTCCCGGTGGAATTTTTCGATGAAATTTTTTGATCATGTTCCTCATCAAGTCTAATTTGTCCATACCAAATTTCAACTCAAAATTCGACCGGGAAGGCAGTCAAATAAATTCTTGAAACTTACTGCACTTTTTATATGCGCAGAAAGTGCAGTAAGTTTGAAGAATTTATTTGACTGCCTTCCCGGTCGAATTTTGAGCTGAAATTTGGTATGGAAAAACTAGACTTGATGAGGAACATGCTCAAAATATTTCATCAAAAAATTCCACCGGGAACCGTCCTAAATGGCGGAGTTCGGACGGCGGCTGGACGGGGGAGGGAGGGACCTGAGCATTTCTGTATATTCTGGTGCATGCCCATCTTAAATTTAAAGATAGAAAACAAGAACAATAGTGATAAAAATATCATACAAATTCCAATAACAAATAACAAACTCAAATTCTATAGCTTAATTCTTTAAACATGAGGCTCAAAAAATAACAAAAAAAAATCTTGAATTTATTAAATGTCTAGATGTAGAAGAATAAGTTAGTGAACTATATTCGAAGCAAAAACTACTATGCAAAATAAATCATACATATTTCAACACTTATTCGATTTCAATGAGCAAAAACATTCTATCGCCAAAGGAACGAGAAATCACTTTGGAGTTTTTTCCGTTGAAGCCTAAAGGGCATTCAACATTTAGGAATAAAATGCTGAAACACTTATATTATTTTTATATGTATAGAGAGAGATGTTTCAACCAAATATCACTCCGTTTGACTTTCCGCAAGTGACATGAGTAAGGTTTGGATACAAATTACGAACAGAAAGAAAATAAAGGAGAAGAGAGGGAACTATAATGGCGATTAATGGGACGGGGAGCAGAAACGCATGGTACAAAAGAAAACACAAACGTTAGATTCAAAATTCCAAAGAATTACAAATTTATGATTTGCAAGTTGTTCCTCGTTAGTTTCAAGCATGGGACCGGACAAGAAACAAAACAACAATTATAGTCGTACCAATTAAGATTCCAATTGATTGGCCGTTTGGGCATCATAACCGTCAGCCAGAACTACGTGTCCAGCCTAGTCATACAGAGTACACACGCACACGCACACCCACACGCGCGCGCACACACACTAAATGTTCTAAAAAATCATGCATTGGCTTTAAGAATTCCTCGAATGCGTTCAACTTGTTGCTTATTTCAGACCTGACTAAAAGCGTATGCACAATTACGCAACGCGTCCTGGTCTAGAGGCTGCATGACATTATTTAGAGCACTGCTTATGCTGGAAGTAGATAACAAAGGAAATAATTACAGAGTTCAAACTGCATTAGTATTCTCAAATCTCCATCTAAATCTGGCAACCGATCACGCAGCCATACAAAAAAATCTGATGCAAACTCTACTTAGCAGCATACAGATTGCGCCCGCACCGGTCACATGCATTAGCAGATGTCGTCTGGGATGCCGTTAAAGGCTTTTTTGTCTTCATATTTGGTAGATCAACCTCCAAAACATCGTGTAATGCCTTTGAGCCTTGCTGGAGCTCGTCGGCACTGAAAATAACAAAATCAGATGAATCATCCAACACAAACACAGTAATGTCTTGAAATGAACTTTTTATGTGTCCTTTGGTGCCGCTTTTGTTTCCTGTTGTTCACTCTTACAAAAACATATAAACAAGAAAACACATATGGGATCTGCGTTTTTGCTTTCAGTTTCTGAAACCTAAAATAGAATTTTGAAACTATTGGAAACAAAAATTTCCTGATTTTACTGTTTTCAGAAACATGTTCCCAATGTTGACAGTGTTTTTATAACACTTGGTAACATCTTTAAAGAATAATGTATTTTCATAATAATATCTCTAAAAAAATTACCAAACATGAAACATGTACATATATTTTAGAGATATAAAATCAAAACATAAATGATTTTTTTTAAACAAAGGCATAAAACACAACAGGAAACATTACTAAATAAACCCTTATGTTTTTACATATCCACATGATATTATAGGCATAATGAATGGGAGGGAATTACTGAACGTAATGTTATTATATACCTCATACAAAGAGGAGGTGTCAGGCGTATTATAGAATCATGAGTTGGTTTAGCAAGAATTCCCCTCTCCTTCAGCTTTAGGCATACATCGTATGCAGTCAAGGGAAACAAGGCCTTCATATCCAGCTCTACTGCATTGAATAAGCCTTTCCCTCGAACTTCCTTTATTAATTTAGGAAATTGCTCCTGGACCTTAATTAATTGGTGTCTCAGTTGCTCTCCCATCTGAGCAGACCTGCACCAATATGCAATGTATCAAAACATTCTTTCCTTTAAAAGAACATAGTCCTTAAATAAGGTTATATTTGTTTAAAGGTACACAATGCAGAACCTGATTTAGTATAGAACTTTGCTATTATTTATTTTGATAAAAGCATTTGGGGTACCATTTTAAAATAAATAAAAAACTATTCCCTCAGCTTCATAGTTCATACTGCAGTATGCACAGCTTTGTCTTCTTTTTTATCCCTCAAAATGCAAGTCATTTTGGAAATTTAAGGTAATATATTTTCTTTATTTGAATTCTGCATTTAACCCCAGTTTTGGTTGATGACTGTTTGAGCACTTGTACTCCATATATACAGTATGAGCAGGTCTAAAGTGTACATTTGCCGCTAGTATTTGAATAGTTCAACATTTCCATGGTCACTCTGAAAAGTGTGGCATATTTTAAGCAGAGAGTATGAGTTAGAAGCAGCACATAGCTCCATGCCAAAAGTTGCACCAACAACATAAAGTACCTAACAACTTAGTTTGGCCATCGGGTATGTTTATACCAGACCACCATTAAATATCCAACTTTCATTTTGTAACTGAAGATGCAAGTTGAAGATAAACGTGAACATTGTGAAGAGTATTATACCTCTCTGCAAGTCCTTCATCTCTTAATACATCTAGAGATGCAATGGCAACTGCACTGGCCAAAGGATTTCCTCCAAAAGTGCTGTTAATATCGAGAAAAAGACAAGTGCGTTATTACAACTCAAAAAGAAATTGCCTAAGATAGGAGCACTACGTCACCGATTTTCTAATTAGGAGCTCTTCTTTATTATCCTAATTTGTTCACGATTATCTGTTATCCCAAATCAATAGTCAATCCTCTTGATTAGCTCCTTCCTTATTCGATATATTTCATATTTAGATTCCTTATATGCATCATTCTCATACATTTTTGTTCTTGTCTGAATATACACACAGCAACATTCTTGAATTAATCACATTATCATATGACTGTGATCTATCCATTGACAAAGCGAATACAATCCAACAGCAGGTTATGTTATTGGAAAAGATTAACAAAAATTACCTTCCATGCTCTCCTGGCTGAATACAAAGCATCACATCTTTGTCTGCTAGCACTGCGCTTACGGGTAGCACTCCGCCACCCAATGCTTTTCCCAATATCTGCAAAGGACAACAGCAATATTCATATTTCCATTCATGGCATGTACAGGACAGAGTTGTGGAATTCAGTGCGCTAGAAGACTACAATGAATGTGTGCGACATGTGTCTAAAAGTAATGTTTAGTCGAGTCAAGCAGGGAAAAAGTAACAGATTTCATACGGATAATTGGCATTATGAAAGTTGACAGTTATCTTGTTAACTACTACCAATTTTCACATGGTGAGGGCGTTGGGTTTTACAACGTTAGACCTAACATACAACTTTGTAATGCCTTGTCGTATTTCAGTGCAAGCGAGCGTACATTTCTCATACCCCGGACCTCTAATTATGGAAAACCCTTAGATAACCAGGGACCAAACCTATCAAATGACAACACATATCCGTAATCATATGTTGATAGAAAACTTGTAACGCCTTTTAATGATTAGTGCATATGTATCATCACATGGTAGACCTAAATACTCGATCTACACTTGTGGCCATCGACCAGGTACACCTAAGAGTTTTTATTTAGCTAAATGCTAAATGTAGGAGTAAATATGAGCAATAATGGCTGGGTTAATACCTAATGTGTGACTGAGGTTCACATTATGGGTTTCTTTTCTTTTTTGGTGGGGGTGGAGGGGGGGATAAACATGCCTAATTTGGTGTGAACATGAATAGTTTTTTGTGCTCTAAGCACCCATTAAGCAGTAGTCAGTACTAATGGATGATAGCATCGTTGCATCAGCATGCAGCTCTTTGGAAGGACGTGCTATTCAATAAACTTGCCAGGGGTTTATAGGAACTTTGGAGTATTGTCTTTACTGCAATCACAAATGTTACATATAATGGCATTTACACTTGCAGTCCTCAAATTTGATATGTTTCAACATCTGGCCATTGATTTTAAACTGTTCCAATTGTAGTCCAAAATGTTCTCAATTCAATATAATGAAGTTATGAAGATATGAGTGAATTCCCAAAATAGGAGTAAAACGTAAGAACATTTTCAAAGTGCAAAAGTAGGAGTCAATGTTTAAAATTCCCTAAATAGGAGTAATCATTTGTGGTTGGACAATAAAACCCTTCTAGGGGTTCAAGCTTGGTCATAGGACCACCACCGCCGGTCACTGGAACCCCACTGTCATTCGCTGCCTCCGGAATTCTGCCGGAGTGCCGCTGCCGCCGGACTGCCCTGGTTATGCTGGGGAACTAAGGGGGCAATTAATTATATTAAGGGTAGAAAACTAGATATGTAATGTTTAGTCCTATTTAGGGAATATAAAACACGCTCCTATTTATGAATTTTAACCATGTTTTAGTCCTACTTAGGGCAATTTCTTAAGATTTAATAGCTTTCACAAAGTCAGTGACCAAAATATAGAATATGTAATACGGAGTATAGCATGATTAGGGAGGGTATAAAGAGCTAGTCCACACAGAACCCACACACATTGAATTTAAGGAGTGTCTGCCAAACTTTTTTTAAAGTGCTTTTAAACTTTCTGCTAAACCGTAAACCGGTGTTTTCAAACGGGTGTTTCTGCTTGAATTTAAGCACTTTAAAGCCAAAAGTTGTACGCAAGGAGAGGCATTGAAACTGCTTTTCACTGTCCTATAACTTTTTACACTAATAATACAACAAAATTTACTTTTTACCAAACACTCCATCTTCTATTTAAAATCACTTTTATTTTCAAACACTACCTATTTTTACAATTAGTCACTTTTTTATTTTTATATAATCTCTAAAATATATTACTTTTCACAAGCACAAACAATCACAAACACTCCCTTAGTACATCAACAAATATATCAGATTCAAGTTGAGAAAGTTCTTACAACAACATCAGGACGGACCCCCTCCCAATCACATGCCAGCATTTTTCCAGATCGTGCTAACCCACTTTGTATTTCATCAGCAATCATTAGAATATTAAATTCTGAGCAAAGATCTCTAACAGTTTTCAGATATCCATGTGGGGGAATTATAACCTGGAGGAAAAATCTAAACATATGAATACGCTGTATAAAATAGAACACAATTCAAAACCAAAATGTAACTTTCCCGGTTTCCCCAACCCTTCTGAAGTTGTTCATCAAATAAAGATGCACAGCAAAGAGTATAAATAACCATGCTGTATGATGAAGCATTTCTGTTGCGGGAGGATAGGGAAGGGAAAAATTAATTGTAACAAGTGATGTAAACTACTGCTCCATATCCAATCTTTAACTGTCCACTGCAGTTCAAGAGGATGCTTACCCCAGCCTCTCCTTGGATGGGTTCAAATAAAAAGCCAGCTATCCGGTCTCCCTTTTCTGGAAATTAAAAAAAATACAATAAGTAACTACTTCCAATGTTTCAACCTTTCAGGGAGCAAAAAATTCACTTAACAGGCTCAGGACAATTTTTGGAATGTATGAAATGGCAGATAAAATTTAATTATTTAAAGAATCGACTATATTTTTTATATTTAGAACCAGTTCTGATTGGGTAAAGTTCTTAGAATGTGATCTGAAAATAATTTATTCAGTTTGGTTGGAGCAGAAAATTAGCTTTTACAAGGTATAATTTGACAACAGGTAAAACAAAATTTTTGTCTGAATAATCATAAGCTGCAAATTTCCTACTCATAAACAGGTGAAAAATTACGCAAATGTTCTCGAAAAACAAGAATGTCCGTAAGCATGATTTAATTACAAAAAACTGAAATATCTACATTTAAAAGACAAAACTGAAATTGTAGGTAACCAAACATGTATTTAAAGCCTCATCTTCTGCATACCCTTAAATAGCTTCTGCAGTGCAGCCGCATCACCAAAATCAACTTTAAGATTGCCAGGCAACAAAGGCCAAAATCCACGAGTTGCCTCATGATCACAGCTCATTGAAATAGCAGCAAGTGTACGTCCATGAAAGCAACCACAGCATGAGACAATTATAGCCTACACGTGCCAATATTAAACGGAGAAACATGAGCTCTAAAGGATATACAAGTATGAATTAAAAAGAACAACAAACCACACCCTATAGTATATGAAAAGCATCGTGGTACAACTGAAACATTGGCATCAAAACTAGATTCTCCATTCAAGCAAAACTGGCCACTATAGAGAGAGAATTCTTGTTGTCCAATTCAAAGAATTATTGAGAATATCGACACCAAGACAAATAAAGGGTTTGAATGTGTAGAATAATACAGGGTAATTATATTATGTTATATTCCCAGATTATGACCCCATGTGTGAGTCCAACTACATGACACTCTATTTTATCCTTATACTCACTTTATCCATATAAGTAGTGTCACCGCCACATAACCTATTCTTGTGGTAGGGGTCACACGATTGAGGGTGTAGAAATTTTCAATAGTAAAACTACTTTTTTGAATATAAAGCTCACAACTTACAACATCATGATCATAAAGACTATTATGACGCGTCGACGCCTATATCAAGAAGTAATATAAGCCTAAACCAAATATGAAATAATGAATAGGAAACCAAAAAACTTAACCTAATGAGAATACACAACCAAGATATTACTAAAACTACGATTACTATATCTCTATATTTCAATGCAAAGCAGGTGTTATGTTTCTCGCGTACTAGCATATGGAATTTGTATAGTGCTTACACACATTGGGTTTTAAAAACAAACAAAATAGATTTATTAGCCATTAAAATGCTTGCCACAGTAGGTTCCAATTTGCAAAGATAGGAGTGTTGCGAAAAAACTATTTGTGCTGTAGTGTTTAAATAAAATCAGCATCCATGCCTACTAGGTTGAATTTTGAACTCATATTAAAGTGGTTTTGAGAGGATTTAGAAGGCTTGGTGCAAGGAATAGCATTAGGCCAAATGACCTTTATAGGATGTGACATTCACAGAGATACAGAAGTCTACAAGGAAACAATGATGGATACATGAGTGTACGTTGTTCCCTGTGGGTAAGGCTTACAAGTAGCACAAGTAGAGCACTTGGTGTCTTGGACCTCTTGGTTAGCATATGACTTGGTTACTGCAAACTCTCTTTAAGAAGCAAGAGCACTTAGTAACACACCCTAGAGAACAAGTAGACATCTTTCTCACTTGAAATAATGATCAATTGTTTTGTAACAATGGAAAGGTTACCCTGGGAGAGAGCTTAACCAAACAGAACGGATTTTCGGTTTTAGATATATGCATTAAGAATTGCAAAAGGAAAAAACCGGCCTACAAAGATCCCAGGACTAGATTGTTGAGACTACAGAAGATTTAAAAACTACGGAGTATTATTTAATTCAAAATCATTATCAACATAACTCACTTGGGAGACAAATAGACATGCAAATGATATGTGAAAATAAATGTCACGGAGTAACAGAGATGTCTCTCGGCCAAAGCACATTGTGTTATTTGATCTAATATGACCCAATTTAGTGAGAAAAGGCATGGTTTGGTCAAGGAGTGTTGCACTAACTTCATGCATATGAGAAGAAAAAAACATTCATCTACAATTTCACTTCAAAGGGACAAGTCATTGTGCAGTCCAATCCACTGACAGATTCATTTTACACTTTTAAAACTTTGCTCTGATAGATGCGGGGGGATTCAACAGCAAAATAGCACAAACTTATTTAGATAAATATAATCGTTGATGAGTCAAAGGATCAGTCCATTTGTCTGTTTTGGATAGTGAAGTCAAAAGTTAACTATCCATCCTTAATCCACCTTTACCTTACCAAATGTTTCCATATAAACCAAAAGCTTGAAGAAGTTTCATTTCAAAAGTAATGATAAATTAATATGAACTAAGAAGACAAAACCATTACCTCGTCTTTGGGTATTCCTTTCTTCATATGTCCCCATTTCTTTGCCAACTTCAAAGCTGTCTCTACTCCTTCTACACCAGTGTTCATTGGCAGCGCCATCTCATAACCAAACATGCTGGTAAGACGCTCGGCAAATACTGGAAATTTGTCATTATAAAACGCTCTTGAACTAAGAGTTAAATTTTCAGCTTGTTCTGCTAAGGCTTTCATGATCCTGGGATGGCAATGCCCCTGCAAGAGTTTAAGCACCTTAAACTTTAGTTTCAACTTAAAATTGTTTCTATAATTGTTTCAAATTTAGGCAATGCCCCTGTAATATAAGCTTCTTAAAATTGTTTCGACTTTAGTTCTATAAACAAAGTGTGCTAAAAAAAACTTCTAATTCTAGTTTCACATGATAAGGGCAAACTTTTAATAGGATCCATAACAACATCCTATGAATTTCTATTACTTTTAACCTGATTGACAGCAGAGTATGCTGAGAGGAAGTCAAGATACATGTTGCCTTCTGGATCCCAGACAGATGATCCCTTTGCACGAGAGAAAACAATGGGAATCGGGTGGTAACTGCAATGCAATCGCAAATGCTATGTTAATTTGTTATGAGTGTGGTAGGGACCTCATCAAAGATGTAGCACAAAGAGAAAGGAATGGGGATAGGGCAGAGAAAGAGAGAATATGTTGCATCTATATTTAAGAGAATGAGAGTTTTGAAATAAGCCTATGGTATGTAGAGTGGTGCCTGACCTAGTCAAGAAACAACTTAATCCTTTAAAGGTAGTTTATTATTAATATGGGATGAGGACCCTTCTACAACTATTACAAGAAATGACATCAATGTTAGCTGCTCAATGGACCTTTTTACATAAATTGGTTTTTAGTGCAACTTAGTCAATGCCTACTCATATCTAACTTACAAATTCTTGGATGGAGCTTTTAGATAGAAGATGGAAACTCCCATACTACCCCTATAAGAACTCTTGCGAGTAACAAGTTATCAAATCATTTGAAGGTTTCTTTGATTACTTTGATATTCAGTTTTTTTAAATCTGCCCAATTGTATTATATGTAAAACTAGGGGGCATCCACGTATCAAATTAGTAATAGTTTGACGAAAATTACTTCGGAAAAAGCATATTTCAAGTTATCTGGGATCTTTTTTGGATTCAAATAAAATAAAAAATGGACGGAGTATCGACAGTTGTGGTTGCACTTTCATGTGGTGGACTGAACCCACTCCTCCTATTTGTTCAGGGCGAGCGGCGCGAACTTTGATTTTATCCAGTTCAACTCTATGTATTCCTATACCCATAGAGTATATTGATTGTACAGAAATGTTATTACAAAAGCTTTAACCATTACACAAACATAATGTGAAATGTTAGTAAGACTACCAATACCAATACTAATAGAAGCTACTACTACAGTATTATTACTATTATCATCATCACCAACATCAAATTGATAATGATATTAGTTAGACAGCTAATAATAATAAGATGTCTTCGGTCCTTAAGCACGGTTGTAACAAGAGACACACCCGGATCATAAACTTCCTTAAAAGCGCACATTGTACACTGCTGCAAAAAGAATTTGATATCATTTTTTTACTTTAAATCATACTAGCTCCTGAATCCTGATTAAAAAAATATGTAAAACTTATCACTTTCTCCAATAATCTTCGACTCCGCAGTTGAAAATAGCAATAGAGTCAACACAAGGGCATCATCATCATTACCCCAGTGCCACAAAGGCTCCCACCTACAGTGGGTTAAGGGGGGTCGGATGTACGCAGTATTACCCCTGTACTAAGAGAATGTTTTTACTTGGACTGTTTTCAGTCCCAGACCAAACCAGATCAGACCATATTTGGACAGTTATAAAATACACAGAGACCAGACATTTACCGGACCAGACCAGAAAATTCCAGTTCAAGAAAAACATCCTACAACACATAGATTGTTTCTGGATGACCCGTAGTGAAAATCGCGTCGAAAATTGCATGGACTGACTGCTGCTTCATAACAAAGAGTCAACACAAGGGCAATGCAAAAAGATTAAAAAGAGAGAAAAAAGAGGAAAAACTCAACAAGAAAGCATAAATGCATTCGAAACACTCAAATTACAGAAATCTAACAATGACAAGCAGCTCTCAAATATCTCAGCAGCTGCAGCACCTCTTTAATTCAAAGGATGCTAATTCCAGTGGCATAAAATTATTAGTTTCAATTGATTGTCTAAATTATTTAACATTGAATAAACTCATGCAAAGAAAAGCTTAATGACAATGTTTTACGCTGGATGCGCTTCTTGTCCAATGATATTTGGGAAATTACTCTAAATGGGACTAAAAATGTTTATTTCAAAATAGGACTATCATGTTTTTATTCCCTAAATAGGAGTACATAGTGCCATGTTTTGGCAATAGCAGACTTTAAAGTTTAAACATGACAGTATTTTCCAAACTTGGCGGTAATTGCTCATATTTAGGGAATAAAAACATGACAGTCCTATTTTGGAATTCTCAAACATTTTTACTCCTATTTCAGGAATTTTCCCATTAGATTTCCCATTCGAGTAGATGACACCCTGGGATTTTTCAATATCCTTACAAGTATTTATATTTTGAATTGCAGAAATATAAGTGAAACTTTCGATATCTGATCACACTTAAATAAATGTAGAAATTGTATTTTAACCAAAATTTTGATTTGAGATTCTAGGGATGTTATAACAAACTGACATGAATAAATTAACTTCAAATACCAGTAAATCGATAAGTTTATGAAAATATATAGATTATACACCCAATAAAAAACTGTTGTCACTATAATAACGTGTTTGAATTGCTTAGTAGTCTATGAGTGCCAGAATGAATGGGGTTCAAGGTTATGGAATGTCATCTTTGTCTAAGCAAAATTCGCACCATGACTGTCAGCTCATTGCCTTAGAGTTAGTCTGAATGTAGTAATGCACATGCGAATAGTATGCTTCTGTATGCCTTTCAACCTTCTCAGCATGAATACATTATTGGCATGTGGTTTGTCCTCTGTACGACATATGAGGGAGAGAAAAATCAAATATAATTTTAGTTACACTTAAATGTTTGGTATTTTTTATATACACTGATGTATTTTAGGGGGGGTATTGAAATCCACATCAAACATATGATGAGGGTATCAGATATTCATGTCCTGATTCTATCATTAGAAGGGTTCCTGGTAGTCTACAGTAAGTGGTTGTTTGATACTACAACTTTGGCTTACAAGCCCAAAAAGACAAAAAAAACAGAAAAATAATTTCTTTAATCAGTAAGAGCTGGAACCACCAAATATTAATAATATAATAAGGTCGGGGTAATTTTTTGTTTACATGTTTGTTTCTAAGTATAACTATTATGTTTGTTGTATCAATAAAGCCTGGAACTTTAAACATTAAAATCTCATTAAATTCTCTAAGTTATGCACATTCAACCATATTTTAAGCTTTACCACATGGGCTCCAAACAAAACCCCAGAAACAGAAGCATGTGACACAACAATGAGATAAACAGTGAGGATTGAAATTTCAATATTGCAAACCAGCAGAAAAAATCGCCACATTTGGGAAATGAAAATGGAGCAGAGACCCATAACCTGCAAAAGTTAATTGCAACCCATACCCATATATGTATGTCAAGAAAAAAAGAAAGATTACTTGTGAGCGCTACACTCGGTTTCCATGTTGATGAGGTGCTGAGAAGATGAGGCCGCCTCATTTGCTTCGTGTTGGGCGTTAGAGAAATTTCGGACGCTCCTTCTTCCGCTGTAAATCCTGCTCAAGGCAAGCTGCAAAGGCCTCCTTGTCGCCATTGTTATCAAGAAATTAAGAATATTTTAATCGCAAGAGAATCTGAGCAAGAATCAGCTGATTGGTTTCGTCTTTTTACATAAATTTACAATTGTACGAACACACAGTGGCGAACGTCACAATCCTGTGGTGGAAAATTGCTTGTGTACCTTTTATGTAAAGCCCCTATTTTGCGTATGTAAACGGTCAATTCATCTAAAAATAAGAAAGGTTCTATCCACTTCCCCTCAATATCTTTTTGCTAAACGATCCACACTTCTTTGAATTCATTCTGCTCTCAAAAATCTATCACATTGACTAGATTCCTACATCCCATCTACAAGCCACCGCGGGCACACAAAAACAGCCAATTCCAACGCCAGGGAGTTCTCATCAATTGCTCTCTCCCAGCGCTTTAGGGAGGAGTATGATTTTTGTTCACCCCTCCCTAGTTTAGTTGCATGTCATGCGGCAAGTCGTTTTGTTGCAATTCTTATAACATTTCCATTCATGGATCAGTTTTTAAAATGATATATCAAAATTTATGATTTTGAGGATTTTCCATTTTTTTCAATTTCATATGTGTAATATTGTTACATTAGAAAATATCATTAAAAAATAAATATAAATTTTTTAAAGATTGATAAATTTGATTTTTTTATAAATTTGATATTTTTAAAAATATATAAATTTGATATCATAAAAAGTTATAACAATGATAAAAAAAATTAATTACATGATTGATAATTATGGAGGGGTGAACATCACCCTCCAATAAGGGTGAACAAAATCACTCCTTTTAGATAATGACATCTATGTCCTTCTATCCATAATTTTTTTTATTACTACATACTTCATCGATCCCGCTAAGATTGTTACATTTTACTTTTTCGGTTTGTCCCACTAAAATTGTCTCGACCAACTTTAATAAAGTTCGTGCATGTCTAAAACATTCTTACTTTTTATAGTTTTTTTTATTACTACATACTTCATCGGGTCCCTCCTGTCTCATTGTTAGTGGGATGGAGAAAGTACTATATAGAGACTCATGTTTCTATAATTCTATATGACTCCACTATGAAGTCATATAGCACTTGTGACGTGATCACAATCATTCTTTTTTGAAATAGGGTCCTCCACACATGGGCTATATGACTCCATAATGGAGTCAAGGGCTCCATAAATTTCTTGATGATTCTATTCATATACTTCTACCTAGATTGTTGTTTCGCATTGGTGCGCCCCACTGTATAGACTCCTCTTGTTTACTTCATCCGTTCCAAATTTATTTGCAAATTCAAAAAAAAATATCAAGCAATATCAAAGTTTTTTTTACTGTACCTTCTTTTTTTTCATAGTGTATGTTCTGTTAAATGTCAACATTCTTGGTTGGGATGAGTTTCAAACCTGTGACCTCTGCCTTAGGAGTTGTTGAGGTTTATTCCTTCAACCCTCGGGTCCAACACGTAAGCCCAAGAGTTTCGAGTGGATAGATGTGTGAATAAACTAGCCCAACTACAAGTGCAATGGAATCAAGGGAAACAGGCAATAGCAAGTAAGTGATTAGGTATTATTATATGTTAATAACTCCCTAATACAATACTTTCGCTAAGGCTCGTCGGTCGTTCGTCTTATAAGGGAGTAGAGGTGCTGCGAGTAAGAATGCTATAGCTAGAGTGCTAAGAATAGAAAGTTGCCAACCCTTTACAATGAAATAAATGCTTCTATTCATACCACCAATAGGCAGTTGGCTACGCTGACGTGGAGGACTGTGGATGGCTGGTGTCCCAACTACCAAATCTTCAGCATTAAATGCACTTCCCGCCAGAATCTAGGTTTCCCGCCTAATTAGTGGGGACGTTCGTCCACCTGGGGAGGTGAGCCGCTCCTGGTGGTTTTGCAAAGGGTACTGGGCCGTCCGTCCCCTGGCCCTTGGGGGATTTCGCCATGTGGATTGGATTGCTTCCAGCGGCTATGGGCTTGCTCTGACGACGTTCGTCGTCATTCTGGTGGCCTGTGGGCCTGCTCCTTGTTGACTGCGTAGACGTTCGTCGGGATGGGCCGCTGAGCCCGAGGCTCTTCTTCAGACGTTCGTCCGTTCTGAGTTGCCTGTCAGGTTAGCCTAGTGTCCTATCCGGACGTACGTCCGGGTGAAGGGGTAAATGGGCTGAACCTCAATTTGGGCCATTAACCCAACAGGAGTGTCACAGTGATGTCATCGAACCACAAAGTGCTTGACACCAATGTTAAAGTTAAATCTTCCGCGTTGATTATTTATTCAATCTTAATAAAAGGTAAAAAAATAATTTAAATATCTCAAACTTTGAATAGGTGTGAGATCACTATCTCAAACTTGCACATATAATATATATACTCCCAAAGCTTATGTAAAAAGTTATGTTAGCACCATGATCATATATTTTTTTACAAATATAATTTTATGGTGTTAAGTACATAATTTAAAATACACAAAACCTTTATAAGGGTGCAATTAAAATTAAATTAACTAGATGTAATATATTTATTTCACAAATGAAATTTGAGAATGATAACTGCAATCTAACAAAGCTTAGAGTATTTTAAATTATGTAGTTATTTCAATAAATTTTTATTTGTAAAAAAATATACAGTCGTGGTGTGAAAATAAATTTTATATGAAGTTCATATATATATATATATATTACATATGCAAGTTTGTGTACTTATCACACACTCATTAAAGTTTGAGGTATTTAAATATATATGAAAATATTTAAGTATATTTAATTCTTCCGAAAAAAACTTTTTGTGAAAACATTTTTTGTTATATTGAATTATTTTTACACCATTTTGGATATTGAAAAATTGGGACAAAATCATCAATATATTTTAAAACATGCAATACTTATCTCTTACATTTGGGGTATTTAAATATACTTATCTTTTGAATCTCCAATTGAAGAATCACAACCATTCATTGCACACGATCTTTTGGAGGATTTTCAAACTAACAAAACCTGAGCAGATCGTGATTCTTTGATTAATTGAGATCAAATAGAGGCTTGTAAAAGAGACACGGTATTAATGATCGAGTACAAACTCCAGGCCAATAATAGGCACGGTACTAATGATCGAGTGCAAAACCGTAATGTACTTCTCGCGCATGAAAAATCAGGAAGTATCAAACTACAAAATAAAACTACTGGACAAGTGGCGCAACAAAATAATGGAAACAAAGCGACTAAGACAAAAAAGGTGATTGTTTGCATTCGTATGGGAGTAAAATGCAATGAAATTTGTGGCGTTACAAGCAGGGTCAGACGGGGCCGATACAAAGAATATTTTTGAAAAAAAATTAGATTTTTTACAATAAAACTTACATTTTTAAAATTTGAGTTGTGCTAGAGCCAAGGTTGGCCCTTCCCTAGCTACGCCCCTGCTTACAAGCAGGGCCGGTCCTGTCCATTTATGGGCCGATGGGCGATACACTAATTCGGACTTATATTTAAGATAAACCGTAAACCATATACTTATTTTACATATAAATTATAATAAAAGCATCTAACGAAGTTCATAAAATAAGGTGAGGATCACTTTATTATTATTTAAGTTACATAGTTAGGCAAAAGTAACAACACGAGTATCGAATAAAAAGAAAAAAGTCACTTAAAAACGTTTCTCATAGAACAATGTGAAGCAAAAATCATAGACAATAATCTTCTTTCCACTAATGAGTATGACAAACAATAAAATTATCACAAATAACAACACTAAACTTTCTTTTAGTTACAACTGAAAATATAAATGAAAATAAATATTACTATTTGAATTCATAAGTTGAGAATGATTTATTGACCGCTAAGAATTTAAAGTGTGAAGTCTTGAAAGAATGAAGGTTTTCAAAGAGACAAAATGTTTGGCCACCAAAAAGATTGCCAATTTATCACCCTCTTTAACTACTATTAGGAACTCAGATATAGTATTTTTCAATTTGGAAACAAATAAATAGTTGGGATGAGATTTTGGGAACCACGGGCTATAAAATAATTATACAAATTTGTTATGTTATAAATTTATAATTAAAATGAATAAAAAGCCTTAAAGGCTAAAGAAGTGTGAAGAGTGAAGAGACGTGTCTTTTATTGATCCAGCAACAGTCCTATTGCTTTTAAAAACTAAAACCGGTTCTTCTTAAAATAAAATTAGTGTATATATATTCTTTTTTAAACTTGGTTTTGTTTATTTTTTTATATATGTTTTAATTTTCAAATTGTCAATAAAATTAAACATTGGGCCTAATTAATTGAAAGAATAAAAGAAGAAGCATACTCACACAATATACAAAGAAAAGATTTTGGGCCTATTTTTTCTTCTATATTTTTTTCGGGCCTAGGGCGGTCGCCCCTGTTGGCTGTTGCCCTACCCCAGATCCGGCCCCGGTTACAAGTTAGTTGTGGATATCACAAACGCGTACATTATTCCACCAAGATTACTGGATCATGCATTTGCTGGTAAGTTGACAAAGCACAAATAGTCTTTGGTCAGAAACTTATTTGAGGCCGAATGCAAGCCAAAGCCAATTCTCTAGAGCTTAAAAATGGCAAACTCCATTAATGTTACATTCATAGAGAAGGTATACAATGCAAGATGTAAACTTAAGAATGTATACTATCATGTAACAATTTCTCCATTTAATCTTAAAACTTTGAGGTAATAGGTCGGTCCCAGAAAGTGAGGATTTGCACGACATTGTATTTGTGCATCGAGAATCATTGCAAGTTAGCGACTATTATGCCTCTTTCTTTATGTTCTCGTTATGGACACAACATACAAGACAAGTAGGTATGCACTTTTCATTTAAATTAAACAATTGATCAATGCATTTGATATAAATACATAAATATACTTGATTGATTATGACAGGTACAAATGTCTTTTTTTGGGAATAGGGAGATTCAAATGTACATTGAAAACATTTTACGTTCCATTTGCATCAAACGCAAAGCATTCATTATTTTCAGATTTTAAATGAGCTAAGACTAGTTTCATAATGAGCGATGATTGACAGATTTTTAAATTTTATCAAGGCACTCACTGAAGTAAGTTTTTTCAAAGCTAGTCTAAGCGTACATTGTGCATGCTACAATTGTTGTAACTTGTAAGAGGCTGCAGATTTCATATTGGCAGTGATGGCAAAGACGGTTGCTTTCACAGAGGCACCTAGATTTTCAGATCTGTGACGGTAGCTAGAATTTTATACAAGTGACATTAAGTTTTCTGATTTACAACCACAATGGCTAGGGATTCACATCATTTGCGGCAAGCCTTCTTCCAAACGGGCACTTTGAGTTGGATGGAGGTGTCGCTGGTCGAAGCCACTGGTCTCTTAGAGTCATTGAGGTGGAGTCCCTAGTTGTTGGGTCATTGAGAGCGGGTAATGCCGTAATGGGGGGTGTAATGGGTAGTATGGTCACTCGGGGACTTCGGGTATGGGTCATTGTTTGTCGGTACTCGGTAGTCAATGTCAATTGATCGATCGGGCGTTGTATGTGTCACTAGGCAGCAACAAGTGAATGCGCCGCCAGAGTCACTAGAGGTAATTCAATGGAACATAGGGGAACTATAAGTCTATAACTACCAAAATGATGTCTTAACTACTCAATATATATTTGTTAATTTTCATCAAGTTACTTTGTTAAGGATAGGCTGAAGAACTTTTTGCCTTTATATCAGAACCACTTCTAAGGTCAAATGCTCAATGTTGTTTCCATTGTGATCAGGGATGGATTTAGGGGGGCGCGAGGGGGCGACCGCCCACATTCAATTTTTTTTTACCAAATATGTAATATTTTCATAAATCTTTCATAATTTAATTAGATTCGCCGCCCTTAACTTTTAATTTTCAAAGTTAGTATATAGTCTTACATAATGTAATACTTAGTTGGAGATTTGAAAGAATAAACATCTAAAATAATTTACATAACTTAAACAAATAAACAATAGAGTAACTCGTTATTTAAGATTTAGGATACTTATTATATAAGAATTCCTAGTTTTGTAATGTTTAATTATCTTTATTAGATAACAAGTACTGGATTTTGTAAAACATATATCAAACAATATTAAATACCAGACACATTAATTACACAATTTTTAAATCACGTGAAATGAATCCAAAATATAAATATTTATAGACATTAGATTACATAATTCATTTACTTCTTGGTTTCTAAAAATAATTTATTGCATGGATAATAAACTTTAAATTATTATAGAATTAATAAAAATATTAAAATATAATATGCGCCATATATACGTGTGTGTATCAGTGTATGTGGTGCACATTATTCTAAAAATAACAATCTCATACATACTAGTATACTACTATTGTAATATTAAGAAAACTTCTCATGAGTCATGACTCACGAACACCCTCCTTGGTGGACAAAAATTACAATTCAATAACCGATTTATGAGGTTAAACAATGTAGAAGTTATTAAAAATGTATTGGTTGATGTCTTTGTCATCGTCTAAACTTAAAATGTATTAGATTTAAATGCCGTTCGGGATGTGCATGTATTAATGTCATTTTTTGAATAAAAATAGCCGCATAGCCCCACAGTAGCGGAAAAATTTCGCCCCGCTACACTAGGGGAAAATAATTCACCCCGCTACACTAACGAAAAAAAATTCACCCCTACACTAACGAAAAATTTCGCCCCCCTTGACTCAGAATCCTGGATCCGTCCCTGATTGTGATAAAATTAAAATCTGTTCTGGGGCTTTTTAAATTACATCATTTAGTTTTAGTTTCACAAAAAGAAGACTGTTTGTGATTGTTGTATGGTGTTTAAAGTGTAGACCAGCGGAAATCGTAAATAACTATGGTTAGATGACTACTTCAAACTTCAAAGGTTTTAGTTTTCTTTTAAAATAGACTAAAGGGTCAAATAGACCCTCAAACTAACTTCAAAAATGCAAATCATCCATTATATAGAAGGCTCTGTCCAACCGCCGCCCCTGAAATTTGATATGAGTAAACTAGACCAAATGAAGAAGATGCTCAATAATTCATCAAAAAATTCTATCGAGAACTACCCCAAATGGCGACGGCCGGACAAAGCTTCTTATATAAGAGATGATTTGCACTTTTTAAGTTAGTTAGAAGGTCTATACTCTATATGACCCTTAAACCTTTAAAATATTATAATAATTGTTTGGATACCATTTAATCATGTCGTTTTATAGAATTCGCGCATATTTAACTTCGGTTTTATTACTACCAGACTGCTAGGGTAATATTTTTTCATATAAACTAACAGAATAATATATTTATTAAAAATAATAATGTTAATAACAGACCCTTCATTCACGATTTCACCTCTGAAGTCTGAAACCGCTGGACCAGTTCTGAGTTTCTAACCAAGCACCAGCCAACTGGAACTGCAGCCTGGCCAGTCCTGGAACTATGGTCACCACTAACCCCCAATCTCTTCTCAATATGTATATATATATATTCAGCCATTCAGGTTTCTATTAACCGGAGTGAAATCTTGTTCCAAATAAATTAAATTCCTTTCTTTTAAAAAGCATATTTTACCTTCTAAAATAAATGCTCCATCTTTTAAATACTGTGGAAAATCATTTTTTGTGACCTGTAAGTCAAACATCATAACAAATTAACAACATGCCAAAGCCAATACGAAAAGAAATACAGATATGGATTAATTGTCTCCACTATCAAGTAGGGATGGACTGGGCCGGGCCGAACCGGCCCGGAACCGGACCGGCCCGCTACTGTGCGGGCCCGGACCGGACCGGGCCCGGTTGGCCGGTTCCGGGCTTTTAGCCCGTGTTGGCGGGTCAGGCGGGCCGGTTCCGGGCCCTAATTTTGTTGAACCGGCCCGGGCGGTTCGGGCCGGGCCCGGTTCATTTTTTTTTTTTTTGGTTTTTTCAATTTTTTTTCTTTTCCTAGGGTAGGGCTGGGTGTTTTAGGGAGGTTTGGGGCGTGGGGGTGAGGGGGGGGGGGGTAGGGAGATAACAAGAAAGTCAAAACAAAAAAAAAAAAACATTGAACCGGCCCCGGCCCGGTTAGGCCCGGACCCGGTATCAACCCGGGCCGGTTCCGGGCCCATGTAACCCGAAAAAAAGCCCGTCCGGGCCCGGCCCGGAACCGGAACCGGACCGGCCCGGGTCCATCCCTGGCTCCCTGCTATCAAGCATGAAGCATCCAAAAGTGCATAGTTCTTCAAGTTGAGAAAAGTTTTCAAGTATGAGAGGTTCTGAATGCATGTACCCATATGCGGGAGTTTTGGGTTTTTTACTATGCACAACAACGAACCCATCAATCTCACATTGTTGGAAATAGTCAAATACGGAGTACGGAATTAAATGGGCATCAAATACGAAGGGCTGTCATTGACATTAATTCAAGAAAATTTAAGTGCCATTTAAATTCAAACAAATCAGAGGAAATATTTACACTCAAGACATAAATATACATAACCACAGTTTATAGAATAAACTAATAAGCCTAAATCTGCTGGCCTCCAGTTAAAGTAGAAAAAACTTAGATATTATCATACTTCGGAAATGATTAGGATGAAGCTCCACTGGCTTCGGCAAAAAAAAAAAAAGAACTTCATATACCCCAAAAGATGGCCAACTAGTTGAGGAGAATTGGTTGCATACTGATAGGAAGAGCATGACACTGATATTCTATGCGATAATCTTTTATACTCTAGAAAATGTTCTACTAAACAATGATGAAAAACGAGTTTCATAAACATCTACCTAAGCTTCCACACGCACAAAACATTGAGAAAAGCACCAGTGGGAGATTGGAGCCTAACATCTAGTGGGAGATTAGACAGAGCTGCAAATGATCTGAGTGAATTTAGGCACGCCTAGGCGAGAGGAAAACCTTCGCACTCAAGATGCGCCTGGCAACTAAGCCGGGATTTTAACGACAATAGAAAAAAAAGAAGCAAAAACAAAAAAAGGCACTAATTAACCATAATTCCGAAATCTAAAATCTTAGCCACTGTATTTTGAATATCATTGTAGGAATGAGATATTGAGCGTTATATCTAGCACATGAAGATATTTTTTTCCTGTATATAAATACTATGAAGGGGGTAACAAAGCCACAGAACAGGCCTGGAGTGTTACATTTGTAAAGTTCTAGCATGCAAAGAGAAGAAAGAGGCAACGAGTGAATGGGATATAGAGGAAAGTCACAGATGTAAACAGAACAAAGCCCTAGATAGTGGATGAAAAAGAATTCTCTGTGATGATCACTACGGATTCAGGCACAAATTTCTTCTAATTCATCTTCAAAAGTTCTTTTCGGAGTCAGTTAAGGTATTTTAAAAAATTAGCTGATGTTACATTACAATGATAACTGATAAGACCTATGAAGCACAGAAATTCTCAAGAAATTGTATTTCACTTTCAGGAACTTTAAGAACATCTGTAAAACACCCGTAATACTTGTTTTATATTAAAAGGTGATGTTTTTCGTTTCATATTTCCCTATGTTTCCTACATTTCCATACAACACAGGATAAGACAGAACTTCTGGAAGTTTTGATAGAATACAGAAGGGTTAAGCTGTTGCTTCACTTCATTTGATTAAATAATATTTTCTTTTACTGCAGAAAAGGCTATATGGTTTCAAGAAATAAGTTACTCCCTGGATTAAGAGATAATTTTTTTAACTAAAATCTACTTCATGTGAGCATTAAAACCAAAGGAACCTAGCATTAAGATTTCAGGGAAGGCATGTGTGGGAAGTACAAGAGATAACAATTATAGCAGACATTTAAATAATCATATTAGTAGGAAGTTGATTTATCACAATTACACACCAAAACAGTGTTCAACAAAACAGCCCAGTGTTTTGGAAGTTAAAAAATGAAGCTTGACTTGGGCCGAATTAGGTTGAGGATGCATTTGGAAAAAGCTCCTTGTTGTAAAAGTGCTTACAATTATGAAATTGTGCTGAGAAGTGATTTTAAGAGATACAAATTTTTGACATTAGAGTTGAAGTGTGATGTAAAATTTTGAAATTTCTAAATATGAAATAGTTAACCTCAAAAGTAGTACTCAAAATCCCAAAACCATCTCGCACTCACTTTTGAATTATGGTGGATTTTCCCGTTTCAAATTAGCTTTTGAATAGAAGTATAGTTTGTTCAAGATTGCGCTGGGGCAAAAAGGTGCTTTTAACACCACAAACGTAATCCCGAATGGGGCCATAATGTTTGTCGGAGAGGATAAGAATGGGAATAACTACATAAGAGGGAAAGATCTTCAAGAGATCTGAAGGTCTGGAACAGAAAAGTGTAGGCTCTTTAGCTCTTTTATTATTATTATTATTATTATTATTATTATTATTATTATTGTTGTTGTTGTTGTTGTTGTTGTTGTTGTTGTTGTTTCTAGTTGATTTATTTTATATATAGTTGGTCAGTGGGTGCATGGTGGATATCATATGAGAAGCAAGAAATGAATGTTGTAAGGAGCTTATGAAAATATAATGTATTAAGGAAAGAGTAAAGTGAGATAATATTTTACGAGTCGAGCATAAGAGTATTGTGCTTTATTTAGACCCTTTTAAAGTCAAGCATGGTATTCAAATGGAAGAAAAAACTTGGTAGCCGTCACACACGACAGAGAGATCAATCTGAACCTGTGCAAATAGTTATGAAGAGCACGCCAGGAAGAAACAAGACAAGCCACAGTTCAAACAAGTGAGAAGATGTCTCAGAAGAAACTGATGATGAAGATTACGAAAAAAATATCATAAGCCACATATATGGCTTAGATATCACAAAGGATCCTTATTAAGCTTGTGCACAGCAATTTGAAGACAAGACAGAAGTCAGTCAACCTGGTCGGATCTGTGATTAAAACGCTGAGAAAATAAAACATCTTGAAATTCTAATGGAACCATTGATGGAGCGAAACCCTAGCTAGCAACATTTCATCGCCTGAAACCTATTTTGGTGAAGACACAACAAGCACTGAAACATAATGGATATGTGCTGAGGGGCAGGAATCCAGAAAAATCCTAAGCAATCCACCCCACCCCCCAACATTAAAAAAATCTAGTCGATTCTAAAGATAAAGCTGGTGGACACCTCAGAAGTGGGGGTATGAATTAAGTGGCCATTATGAATGCCTGGATCAAGTTTTCAGCAGCACGTTTCTGGTCAGGTGTTCCAGATATTAGAGCCACGCGATCACTTCGGGAGGATTTGGAATCAGTGATCTCTATAGACGCTCCGGATATCTGTTAGAATATTTAGTAGTGCCAGAGAAGTCATTAGGAAACTGAAATAAATATATCAATGAGATAACATTTAAACTCATTTTGTTAACTGTAGAAGATGGAATGTTGCCATGTTGGAGAAGAGAAGAAAGGTGCAAAGTGTAGAAAAAGAAGATACTAAACACATCAGAATACTCACATTTTGGATGTTGTCTAAGTTAGTTCCACGTCTGCCCAAAACTTTACCAATAGCATGAGCAGGTATAAGCACTTCCAGGGCAGGTGGAGGTAATCTGCTTGAAATACGATTCTGACATTAAGAAAAAATACAACAAAGAACGGAAGAACCATTTCACAAAAAAATAGAAATACACTGAGAGTTTAAGGTGACATACCTGTTATAACGTTTTGGAGAATATGCTGACAACAAACCATGGCTATTGTCTCCATACTCACCAACCTTCTAACACAAAAGAGGTTATATATAATATGATATACATATATTTATTTATTTATTTATACACGAATGAGATATGTACCTCAAGAGAGGAATATGCATGCATATGCGTCATTGGATTCAAGATTGAAGGACTCTAAGCGGCCAGCAATAAAGAAAATAAAATAAAAAATGCAGTGTTGTAAATACAACTTTTTCTGCCACCACAGGAAGTGCACTACCCGAAAGATAAAATGTGCACCGTTGTGAATCAAAAGAATAAATCTAGGCCCTTCATCACACTAGAAAATGATGGAACTGTGATTTGTTTCCCATTCAGGCATCACTGTATTTCAACATAATTAGTGGTGCACTATTAATGCATATAACTCTCCAATTTTCAATACTACGATGCACCTAAGCTTTCACCTTATTTACTACAATGTCACTGCATTTTTCTTTAGAAAGTCCTCTTATTGACAACTATGCCACTCAATTTATCTTTAATAAATGTTCCCATCCTATAAACCATCTATAGATCAATGACCATGACCAGTTTTTGTTTCTCTCTGAGATCAACTTCTCAATTGAACATTGTGCGTGGGCGTGTACATATAGTATGTATATATTGATATATATCTATGTGTGTACTGTGTATGCATGATCTAAAAAGGCATCTGAGGTGTATGTCAAGATTTGATTGATTCAAGTTCTGTGCTGCTCGCCACTCCCCGAGGTCAAGGACGGGGTCAAACCGTCATTCCAGGATTTGCAGTCTGATACATTTCCATTATGTTACCTAGCCAAACCCACCACCCGGAACAAAAACAGCCTGAGGTGTAAATTAAATTTTAGCTCATGTGTGCCTAAAGTTAAAACTAATATTAATCGTGTATTGGACTCTGGAACTCTAAAATCAAGAGTTAAAGACCATGTAATGGGTAAACTCATCTATGATAAAGGATTGCACTTACAGAGTAAAAGAAAGAAAAATGAGCACTTTTTCAAACAATGGATTGCCAATGCCATCCTTTATGGAAATTGAGCATTAGCTGCCACTATGTGACATCACACGATCAAGATCATCAATTGCCCATGCCAAACAATCCATGCATAAAATCACACTCCATTTTACTCAGAAGGGCAAGAATGACTTAATAACACTCAAACTTCACTGACATTTCCTAATTATGTGTTTATTTTCATTTAGGCCTTTAGTTGTGGAATGTAGACTCAGATAAAAGGTTAACTCTGCAGTCAGGGACTAGAGAAACCTTCATAGTATTCAACGATCTTGAAAATGAGTAAATATAAAAGAATCCAGACAATGTGTGCTGCGTACCGATAGAATCTCGGGTCCATAAACAATGTTTGAAGAATAAATTCCAGCTCCACTTTCAGTACTCCGCTCATATCTCAAAGGAGCAACTTGAGGAATACTTTGCAAAACTGAAGGCACTGAAACATGGGCTCCACTAGCATGTAAAATATCAGGAAATGCAGAAGAATTCTGCTCTCCTTGTTCTTTGAGAATGTCAGCCCTGAGCCTTAGCACAATCTGGATAAGCGCATCCCTCACATTGCCGACTTCCCCAACCACCTATTTATGCAACCAGAAAGTATGGCACACACATTTAGATTCATAAGTCAATTGAATACACATACACACAGACACACATTAACCAGAGGGCAAACCTCTACAAGTTCATCACTTGGATCTGCAGAGTTGGGCTTCTTTCCTTTGGAGATCCGAACATCAGCTTTAGTTCGTTTTCGAATTTCATTTATAATAGAACCACGTTTACCAATAAGGCACCCAATAACCGCAGAAGGAACAAGAAGACCTAAAGTTACACGGTCTTCATCTTCATCATTTATCTTTCCTTGCAGCAATAGCACAGCTTCAACTGCCATTGACTTGACATCATCAACTGACTGCACAAGGACATCCCTGTTAGTACTTAATACAGATGACAAAGATAATGTTGAAATGAAAAAGTGATATAGCTGAAGAAAGTAGATGACACAATGTCCATATTATATTTAATATAATAGATATGATGTATCATGTATGAGCATAAGCTAAGAAGCTGAGAAGTGGATAACCAACACCTTACCCCCTGACTCACAAAAACTGCCAAATGATTTTAAACTAAGAATGTTTTCTTCAACCTAAAACTATATCATTAATTCACAGTTAGACCGAAGAAGATGAGAAAAGATGTACCTCCTTAGAGATCACAGTGATGATACATTCTTCGGGTTCAGCTTTGACATCACCAACCTCAATTTGAGCACCACTAGCCTGTCGTATGGTTTTGATTGAGTTTCCACCCTTGCCAATGACACGCCCAATATTGTGGGATGGGCACAATAATCTGATTCTCAACTCCTCAGTTCGAGAAGAAGATGAATAATCTGCCCATGTACTCCCTGCATCCAGATAACCTGGAAACTCTTGCAAATGTGAACCTAAAACAGAAGAAACTGGTGCGGTATGGACTATAGGATCTACACCCGGGTATATGCCAGAAGTTGAATATATCGGAGCATCTGATGGTATAATAATACTTGAAGGGATTTCCTGAACTGTGGTATCAAGAGGAATCTCTTCTTTTGGTGCAAACTTGTAAATGATTGAAGAAACTGCAAAAACTGCTTTCGTAACAGCCTCCGACATACCAGCAATCTAGGTGAATTTAGAATGCATATCATGAATATATCATACATAAATTATGGAAGTACTAGAGTACACTTTATACAAGTGCCAGAATTATGGGTTATCTTAAATTACCATGCCACTAATACTTGACACAGAAATAAATGCAAACACGCAACAATAAAATCCTTCAACTTAAGCATCTTTCTAGATTTAACAAACTCAAAGTAAAATACTTTTAAATCAAGCAATAACTTATCAGAGAAATCAATACAATACTAGCCAAAGAAATTATCAAAACACATACATAAACCAAAAAGATAATTAAACAGAAAAAATGCCTTAAACTAAGCACCTTTCTAATTAAAGAATCGCAAAAAAGAGACTGAAACTCAAATAAAGCACTAGCTTATTACATTTGAGTAATGTAATACTTACCACCACAAAATTATCAAACTCCAATGCACAAGAATGGTTAGGATCACTGGCATTCTTTGGAGTTACTCTGATGTTTGCTCCAGTCTTGCTTCTCATCTTTTTTATGGTAACCCCAGACTTCCCAATGACATTTGCACTCTGGCTGGTAGGAACTAAAAGCTGACAAACTTCCTTTTCCTTCTGATTGCTGTCAGATTCCCCAAGAGAAGAAACAGAATTCATGATTGTCGCATGCATCTTAAGAAGAGCATCCTGTGCAGAACAAAGTGGTCTGCTGTCGTTGAATTCCTCATCCACCTCAACATCTTCCTTATTTTTTACATAACAATAGATGAGTATAACTCTATCCTTAGCGCCAGGAAAGGGGTCCACCACCTTAACCTTCGCACCAGTGTTATGTCTGATGGAATTTATGTTTTTCCCACTCTTTCCAATAACACTTCCGATAACATTAGCAGGGCATAAAATCCTGTAAACAACCAGCTCAGCATCGCCCTTCTCATCTCTTTCTGTCCTCCTTTTCTGGTTCTTGTTGTCCCCATCATGCCTACGATTTCGCTTCCCAGTCTCACCCATACCCATCTAGCAAGCACACAACTTTTCACCTAATCATATAGCAAAAGAACAGATTTTTAAAAACATCATTAAAATCATATGCCTAATACGTAGAAAGAATTGATAGCAGTAAAAAAGATTTAACCTAATCCTTCAAAAAGTCTACTTTCAATAAGATTACCTCCTCCATACAAGCATACACCACCTCAAAAATTAAGAAACAGACTACTTTGCCAAATATTCAAGACCAATCAATCACAATCAACTAAAAAGCACATAGTGTAGATAATAAAAAAATCACGAAAAATAAAACTCAGCACATGTAGCAGAAAACACTGGAACAAACCCCAGAAGAAGGGCGCTAAAAATAGGACAAATTTCAGAAGCACATAAATCAGTGTATCGCACCTCAAATCCTCAATCGTGGTGAAGCCTGGTGACACTGTTATCTTAATGCGGATATTTACGTTAAGATCAGGTCAACAACTCAGCTGGCGGTGGATGGTGAGAGGGTCGAGCATGTAGGCCGGATGGATCGGGCCAAGCAGCAACCCTCTGTTTTTATTATTGGGTCTTCTTTTAAGGTATGTTTGCCAACAATTAAAAATTTGATTTCATTTCTTTCAAAAAACATTAATTTCACTTTTTATTATGAGAATAATTCGCCAATAGTTCATTGTGTTAATTGTTTTGGTTGATCTATTAGAGCCCGTTTGGTAGCACGAAAATCGGCTGTTTTAGCTGATTCTGCTTAAATTTATGAAGTTCTGACTGAAGTGGCTGCATAGGTTGATTCTGCTGATTTAAGAAAAAATTATTTTAAAATATATTTTATTAATAAAATAAAGAAAAAATTATATGTAAAAATAGCTAAAATGGTCATCTACAGTAACTTCAGCCAATACAGCTAGAAAAGTAACTCCAACCTTACTTTTTCTGCTTATTACAAAATTCAACGCGCTTAACCAAAAGTTACGTGTTTGGTGAAAAAGTTGACTGATAAGTCTGATAAGCCGAAAACAGTGCTGTCAAACGGCCTCTATATGAGTTTGTTGTCACTAATGTTTGGTAAATTAACTGTTTACAAATATTAAGTACTCCATTCGTCACAATATTATCTATCATTTTAACTTTGCAAACAAATTAAGAAAGATTGAAATATGTGACCTAAATTGTGCATAGAATAGATAAAATTCAGACAAATGCTGTGAATCACAAATTCTTTACTAAAAGGTAAAAAAAAGTAGTATGCATTAGAATGGACAAAAAAGAAAAGAATTAAGATAATATTGGAACAAAAGAAGTAGTTTTTAGAGTGTAAAATGACTCATATAGAATAACCATGTTAAAATTATAGTTACAATTACATGTAGAATAAAATAGCTCATACGCTTTAAAACTCATAATTTTGTGTTGTTATGACAATTAATAAATTTAAATAAATGACTTGTCACTTTTCAAAACATTTATTTTGTTTTTTAGTTTAATCAATCTTAGTTCAATTTATTAAATAATTTATCACATAACAATATATATTCTATTTAATTAATCATGAATGATTTACAAATCACGTCCAATATCTACATGTAAACGAAATAACATATGAGCTAGATAACGGTAGCAACTTTTTAAGTTCATTTTTGGAATTTTATCAATTCAAAACTTGAGACATAAGTTTAATGTCAATGAGGAACCTCAAAACATAAAGTATGTGATAGAGTGTAAGTTTTTTTGTCCACAATATGGATGTGATGATTGGCCGATTAAAAATTAGGGCCAAAGCCCCAATATGTTGCAAAAAAAATTGTAGTATTTTTGAGTAGAAAACATGTTGAAACTTTTCACTCGCCCTATTTTATTAACTTGTGATTTCTCCATGAAAAGGGTATCGATCCATACTGTATAGCTCTTAAGTCATGATATGTCGTTTAGAGTTTACAAACTCGAAGAAAATTATTTTTTAACATTTGTAGGATTTTAAGATTTCATATTTCATGTATCGTTGAATTTTTTATTTATATATGGTGTGTATTGCTACCGGACGTCTTTATGTAAGAAGATAACTATGTAGTATATATCGAAGCAATGCAGCACACATATGAATGATAATACATAGATCATATATCGTGATGTGCATAATGATTCTACAATATTAATGTTTGAATGGGATATGACTATACCAACTATCTCAAATCCTTGTTCCTCGACATATTTTTCCATTCAAGTGAAATTAAAGAACTTAAAACTATAGAGATTTTGGAATTTCATCCAATTATCCCTTCATAAGAAAGACTGCTACAGGAAGGGCATTCTGCGTCAAATCTCACCACTATGATTTATTTCATGAATTTATAGTTTTGAATGTTGAGTTCTTGGCTAATTTTATCCAGCATTAGTTGATGTGTTGGTGAGTTGTCGTCCATTTTATTTGTTATGTTCTTACACGGGAACTCTCAGAAAAGAGTATTGTTGCGTTTCTCTTTTCCATGTTTCCAATGTTCACTTGCAATGATTGTTCTTTGCAATAATTTGCATGAAAAAACTAGACATCAATCTATTGTATGATCATATCCTTGCCTATGTATACATATAGTGATATAGTTAATGTTATATGCATCTATCATTTTTGTTCTCGTTTTGTCGCTACAATTGCTTCAGATAGATTGCAACTTCCAAGGAAGTGGAGTGAGTTTTTTAAGTAAGTAATATTTGCGGGACACTAAACATGTACATTCTAGAGACGACGTTCTAATGTCATGCACATTTATTGGAAGTTGAAAAGCTACACGTGTGATCATCAACTAATGAAAGTGTACAACCTAGTCCCGTAAAACATACACATTTAATGTCCCCTAACATTAATCTTCTTAAAGTCTCGATGTTTTTATCGATCTCATGAAGAACCCCACTAATGACGAAGCACCAAGTATCACTGAAAAGTCAAACATGCCTCTTGTTTTTCCCATTCCTAGTGTACATTGTTTTAGAATGTGTATGACTAAGTTGTATTGTCTTTGTGCATTTGACATTGTCTTAACTACCATATTCAGTAGTTACATTTATGTGAATAGTTATGTATTATATGGATTTGTTTTTTGCGCTACTGTGAAGTTGGTACATGATTGATGTTAATTGTCCAAGGGCCTATGTTGGAGAGAGATGCCCTTTGTTACCAAATGTGTTGCACACCTTATGTGAATGCATCAATATGCGATACATCCATGAATACAAGGTTAGAGTGGTAGTTTTAAATGGTGAATTGAATGTAATCTACATGGTAACACTTATGGCCTTTTTTATATTATACAAATCAGTGCACTATGGTTAAATTGGTTAAACCTCAATATGTTAGCCTAACCAGATGAAATTAATCAATAATGGTCCTTATTACCCTTTGGTTTCCACAATTGATTGCATTATACCATGATGAGTGGAAATTCCAGTAAAGTCTATGAGCCTTTGTCTAAAAGTCAATTGCAAGTTTTTTCTTTGAAAAATAATGACATATATATGATCTCACTAATGGTGCGGTTGTCAGATGTGATCTTACTAATTCAGCCATATTTTTAGAGGAAAGGATGGATTTACGGGAGTTTTTTGCACCCATTCCCAAAATACGAATGTCAGACTTAAGGTATGAAAATACGGGAAACGGGGGTGGCTAATATGAGTTTTGTAGGGTTTTCCAGGGACATTTCCATTTTGTCGCAGAAACGAGGTCAATGGTTTAGGATTGTCAGAGGATACAGTTTTTCGGATTCCTCTAATCCGAAAGTTGGTTTTAATAGTATTGAATTCAAAAGAAAAAAACGGTTGAGCGCATGAGTGAGGTGCACACTTGGTGTGGCTACAATACATGTCAGAAGGTTTTGAATTCCCTAATGCACACACTTGTGATGCTCCTGATTGACCAAATAAGACATGGATTATGCTTTCTCCTTGCTTTTCTCAACCCTTAGATTTCATAAAACAATCCCAACCGTCCAGATTTTGTACGGGAGTTCACTCCACAATCTCAATCCTCACCACTTTAAATACCTTCAACATTATATTTAATCCACTACAAATTCACAATTTCGGTTAAAAAAATTAAACAAGTGTTTTTGCTAATTATAAATTTCCATGTTCTTCAAATTGAGGTTAGACGCCTAATTATATCTTTATTCTGTTTATGATTACATTTTGCACTTATTCTACTATGTCTGTCTGAATATTTAGAAGAACTTAATATTAATATGTAACTAATCTTAATTGTTATTAATATACTAACTCTGTTCTCTTTTAATTGCAACGTTGGACTTTTTTGCACTATTCACATATTCTATTTTGACTATATTTTATTTATTAATACATTATAAATTATTATTTTTTAAATTTCTCTCAATGTAAATTTTCAAAAACTGCAAAATTTTATTTTTTTTAATAATATGGAATGGAAGATATTAATGCTCAAACTTGTGTGTTGGCAAGCGTGAAAAGTGTATTGTTGCAATAAAAAAGAACAGAGGAAGTAGTTGATATATGTCCTAGTAAACAAATAATAAAAATAATAATTAGTTCATAACTTATTGTGTTTCTTTGATTACAATTGCACTATACTGGTAAAATAATCACAAACTCGTCTAGAACTAGTCCTTTTCTAGTTTCTGACAAAAGTTTTGTCTAGAACTAGTCCTTTTCTAGTTTCTGGCAGGGTGAGAGTATTGCTCAGTGGCAAGTCTAAAATTTGTATCGGTACATTTATTGTAATTGTACTATACTGGTAAAATTATCACAATCGCAACTAGAACTAGTCCATTTCTAGTTTCTGGCAAAGCTTTTGTCTAGAACTAGTCATTTTCTAGTTTCTGGCATGATGAATTATGATGATAATATTGTTCAGTGGAAAATTTACAATTTCAATCGTAAATATATTACAATGTACTCCGTAATACATAACAATATAACATTGATATAGTTTCATTGAAAATTTATATCTAATTTATAATCTGATTAAATAAAATACCTCATTATGATTCTTATTGTTAGTTGAGATACAAATGTCTGCACAAATACCACTTATGGACCGGATTGATCGGTCCGTGCTAGTGATGTCACATTACGCGCATCGTGCGGATCTTCTCTGGAATGATGCTACATCCATGGATGAGAAGTTGAGGTGTAATATATATTGTTCAATGGTGTATAAAGACGGCCCGCGTCACCCAGGAGTGGTAGCGTTGATGAAGACCGCCGGATTTTATGTACACATCTTTCAACCTACTTACCTACCCTAATAATTTGTAAGCAACGTTCATTTTTTTTACAATCACTTATTATTCGAAATAATTTCAACCACTTGCTCCCAACCACTTCCACCCATCTAAACCCACTCCCAACCACCAATAATTTTGATCTAAAAAAATATCTCGGGTACAAAAGTGTACAGATTCCTACCACTTTAAATTAAATCTATCAACTTTTACTTTTTTCTGGCAGATTCCCTATCACTTCGGGAACCAATAAATTGTACACATATTTCAACCTACCCCAATAATGCAGCACTGTTAATAGGAAAAAACGATGGCTTTAACGCTATAGATGAACGTATTGCCGAAGAGTGTGCGCAGAGAGGTTTTGGAGAAATTATATCCATTCACGAAAAACTACCAAAGTACAAAAATCGTGCGTATTGCGGCATCAAGACATTGGCCCATCCATGATGATGATACTTGGAAGCACTTTTTCCCACTTGCTAAAATAGAATATGAAGAATTGCATATTTTTCTGGATGCACGGAGCACCACTATTGTCCAACCACAAATATCAACATATGGAGGAAGTGATGCCCACAATTGTGAAACTTTTCACAACATCCACTCCCACGATGACAGACCATCAACGAGATACGGCGGACGCTATAACCCGCATATTGTTGAACAAGAAGATGACCATTCAACAACATATGAAGAGGAAGATGATTCAGATTATGAACAATTTTCTGGAGATGACGATGCAACAACAAATTCCGACAATAATGATGTCGCTCATGACACATCATGGGCCGATATTGAACTGGAACAACCATATGTTGAACCAGCAAATCGTGAAAGTGACATAATTGTGGTCGGCAAAATATATGATTCATACGACTCACTGAAAGAAGCCGTAGCCAAAGAAAGTATTTGGCAAAACCGAATTTTTAGGACTTTTGACAAACGTGACAGACCGTGGAAGGCAGTTTGCATCTATGATGAAATGTGTACGTGGCACATTCAGGCGGGAAACCTTCTCAACACCAATTTATGGAGGGTGAAAAAATATCAACCACTACACAACTGCAGAGTGGATTATAAAAGAGCTCCTAATGACAGACGGATGACGAGCAAGTTCATAGCGACTGTAACATTAAACCCGTGATCCAAGACATATACGACAAATTCAGAATCAATGTCAAGTACAAAAAGGTGTGGTATGGACGTTTGATCGCCCTTAAGCGAAGATTCGGTAACTTGGAGGCGGCCTACAATAATTTACCCAATTTGTTGCATGCGATAAGTGCATCAAATCCGGGATTATTGGTAGATTTCTAACCAAAACCAACTGATCACGCCGGTACATATGAATTTCACCGTGCGTTTTGGGCTTTCAAAGCTTCCATTGATGGGTTTAAACACTCTCTGCCCTTACTATCTGTAGACGGTACTCACTTGTATGGAAAGTTCAAGGGCCATCTCTTGGTTGCAGTCGCCATGAATGCTAACCGTGAGATTTTCCCTCTCGCCTACGCAATCGTGGAAAGTGAAAACACAGATAGTTGGTCTTGGTTTTTGGAACACGTTATGACTTATGTTGTCAGACCAAATCAACATGTATGCATAATATCAGACCGCCATCCCGACATCCTAAGTGCCTATCGATCAGTACCTCAATTGAAAACCTCCCAAGTTTCAAAGCGGTTCTGCCTCCGACACATTAGGAGCAATTTCATGACAAAATCCAGGAGCACTGAACTGAAAAAGCTTTGTTGGCAGGCCGGGAGTACACCCATGGTGAGTAAATTTTACCAAACAATGGCTCAAATTCGTGCTAGGAATTAGAATGCGTTCACGTATTTGAACGATATTCCACATGAAAATTGGGCACTGTGCTTTGATGACGGACATCCGTGAGCTTCAATAATGTCCTAAAGGGATGTCAGACACTTCCAATCACCGCGCTTGTTAAGGCAACTTATAACAAAGTTGTGCAACTATCTGCCGACCGACGTAGGGCCGGTCAGATGTGGCGGCAAGTTGGGTTCCTCTATCCGCAAAATATATGGAAAGATATTCTTGAACGTTCACAGCAAAGACATCAGTGCACTATAGTCCCGCATAACCGAACAACGGGAATATATTCTGTTTCCATTCGTGATTATCCGCCAGTAACAGTAAATCTCTCACATTGCGAATGTGATTGCGGTTTTTGGAAGCAAAATGGATTTCCATATGTTCACGCCTATGCGACATGTCATTTCTTAGAAATAATTGTAGATCATCTCATCCCGGACGTGTATAAATTAGGTGCCTACATCCGTACGTATGCTATGGATATTATGCCTATGCATGACGTAAGTGCGATGCCTGATACCGGATATTTAGTGATACCGCCTCAAAGTGCTAGGCGCGGTCAAAGCGGTAGGCCTCAAAGGAGCAGATTTACAAATGAAATGGATATGCGTCTGAGTAGGAGAGCACAAGAGTAAAAATTTATATGTATTTTGTAACGCTTTTCAATGAATAAAAATTTGTATTTCTTTGTCATGTTGTTGTTATAGATGAAATGAGTAATGAAATATTTATATTATTAATTTTTGCGGGAACATTGAACAACTTCATAATACAATATCATTAAATATGTATATTCACTAATTAATACAATCATTAACCTAACATTTGATTATTTCTTATTTAATAAAATAATACACATATTTCCAATTACAAATATCACTAAATTTATTCATTTTTTTTACATATTATCCCAATCAAAACACTTTGTTATTTATCCCACTTACAAATTTATACGGAGTATTAAATTATTTGTACGTTTTTTAAATATAAAGTACAAAATAATGCACTTACTCTCTATTATTATCCCACCTACTCAACTCTACGTACATAGGCATGCTTAAAAAATTACGTTTTATAGCTTTTCGTAGGGCTTCCACTAAAACTCTACACAAACACGTTTCTCTTTTTTTTTTAGAAAACCTAAAAAAACTCCCGTATTTTGGACGCCCATGCAATGTAATCCCGTAATATGAGAATCACCCCAAAAAATAATACTCCGTACTTCATATACCCTAAGTAGTATTATTCATCCCACAACCCATTTTTCATTTAATTACTTGTGTCTTCCTATTTAAAAAAAATCAACAAAACCTTTAAACAAACCTACTCACAACTAGTATGTACGAAGTACTTACGTAGCATGGCCCATGCGTAGCATTGAAAAAAATTAAAACCTATTTTCGGATTAGGGGAATCTGGTTTTGATCTTTCCCTTATGTTCACCAAGCAACCCTAATATTTTCGGATTCCACACCCACGTTTCCCGCAAACTCAGAAAACCTATAAAAGTCCCGTATTTTAGCCAACCATGCGATGCATTCCCGTAATATGAGAAATCACCCATATTTTTAGGAAAATTTTACCGTGCACGCATATTAAGGAATGTTTTGGTACGTTATACATTTGGCACCCTCTTATTGGCGATTTAGTCCAGCTCACATTTTTATTAAATAATACAGTTATTGCATCGAAGTCCCTCCCAAATAAAATACGTCCACTACCCGACTCCCTCTAGAAAATTAGTTAGAAGTCCTCCCAGGCAAAGCAAGCATAGAGCAATCATCATCGCAGGAATTCATACGATGTACTCGTTTCGTCTTCTATCATTCACCACCCAAGCTCGGAAATATATTCAATGAAAGTTAAAGTGCAGTGCCCCAAACACAACGTACGTAGAGGCATAGAGCCCCACCCTACTAGTTGGGCTACCGCTGCTAATGTATAACAAGGATTTGAGCTTGAATTGGGGTAATCTTCTCGTTGTCTTATGTTATTTGTTTTCTTTCTCCTTCCATCAACTCTTTTAAGTCCAATCATTTGAAATCAATTATTCAATTAACTATATAGAAAATTATTTGTTTATGTTATTTATGAGTTATGACTTTAATTTGTTAGCCCTTAATTTTCAGTTAAGATTGTAATTAAGTTGTTTTACAGGCCGTGATTAGATATTAATTTTTTTATTTGTTAGATATTTTTATTACCCTATATGATATTTTGTCTTGATGATTTAGTGTTTTCTCTGTGTAAAGTGGCAGCTAAGTAGTGAACAAAAAAGTTAAATTGTGCATCTATTCATCTAAGTAACTCAATGGTAAATAGACACCTTGAAAAAGCTAAATGTGGGCTCTATTGTTTGCCAATATGGCTCAAGTTTATGTCTTAATTGTTTAGTAGTATCATTTGCAGTTCCATCTTGAATGACATATTTTAGTTTCTGACATGCTACAGATCAAGACAAATTGGTGCAAAAAAAGACTTTAATTATTTATCTAAATCCCTTATCAAATTTGTAAATAAGATTATATGAAACACAGATTGTATATTGAAATATAACAAAAAAGATCTGTTATTAGCTTTTCCTGTTTTGAAACAAAACAGAAAAAACAGATTGATATTTTGAAATAGACTGTCATCAACCTTCATTTTGTATCTGTGATGTCTTATGCTAAATTATGCATTTCAAGCTATGAATTTTGTACATTCAAGATGGCTCTTTGTAAATGTTGTGACTGTTTGAAACTTGTGTGATTCAGATCTTTTTGTTTAAGAGATTAAACAACCAAAGCTACTGGTAGTCCGAAGGGAGCAGCGTCCTCCATACCTTGTCCTGGTGCTCGTGCCTATATTAAATTTACCAAAAGTGTAAATTTAATATAAAGTGTTTTTAATCCATCCACACTCTTTTCCTTCACCTTGGAATGAACATTCATTCTACATACCGAATGCTGCCTTAAACTTTAAGGTATACTATTCTTGCTGTTGAATTGAAACGAGGAAAATTTCACGGTGCATGCACATTAAGGAATGTTTTGATGCATGTAAGGAAATAATTTTGGCATTATTTTGAACTTTTTTTTTATACTTTTCTCAATAGAATAATTTTTAGTTTATTCTATCTCAAAATTTTGAATCCTTATTATGTTTTTTTGTACTAAATATGTAAAACATCTTGGTTATCCACGAATTCAATGTCGTTCTAATAATAGCCTATTTCGTGTATTTTTGTTCCATCTTGAAATATGTGGTTACTCTTTTAGAATGCATCGGAGCTATGAAAATATGATATATCATACCAAGGATAGAAGTTAATTTATTTTCTGAAGTACTGAGCTAATGTATTGTTGCAGCTCCTCGTTTGTGAAGTTTATACAAAATTGTTCAAATTTTCATGTTTAAATGCTTAAAAGATGTACTAGGATGTATTACTGGAAGAATGCTTTAAAGATGTGTTGCTGGAAGAATGCTTTGAAGCTGAAATAGTAATTCTTCGTGTGTATACCTTACTGGAAGAAGGGTTAAAAGATAGAAATACTAACTGTTTGTGTGTATACCTTACTGGAAGAATGCTTAAAAAACGTGTTACTATATGTGTGTAGGGTTTAATAAGGGTGATCAATGAAATTTTCCAAATTCAGAACATAGAAACCATTGCAGGCATATACACACACCTGAAGTAAGAAGCAAAGGGGAAGGTGCTGAAGCATTTGTGAAGCTCAATTTGTTAAACAAGAGGCCGTAGATACACAAATGGTTGGCTTCCCTAGAACTATTAGCCACAAGTTTAACGAGAAGAAGAGTCAAACAACCATCTTCCAAACCTAGAAAGAGAACAAGAAGTCAACCCCAAAGCTCCAAGTCTCCAACAAGTCAACCTGATGCAGCAAAGAGAGTGGACAGTGACATGTTTTAGGCTTAGTGTGTTTTGTTGTTTAAGCTTGATGCTTATGTTCGGACTTTAATTTTTTTGCGATTTAAGCTTTATGCTTGTATTTAGATGTAGTGTATTTTGCGGTTTAAGCTTTATGCTTATGTTTGTCGCCGGAAATAGTTCCTACGAGTTTATGTTTAAACTTATTGTATTTTGATGGTGAATTGAAGCTTTAACCATCTCCTTATACTTATTAAATCAAAATGTGAATTTATTCTTCTAATGTGTATCAGTGTGTATTATTTTCATACGTATTTGATGAATATGGCATTTAATTTTTTTTTTGTGGTTTAAGCTTAATGCTTATGCTGGGACTTTGTTAATTTTGTGGTTTAAGCTAAATGCTTGTATTTAGACTTGGTGTATTTTGAGGTTTGAGCTTTTGCTTATGCTTGGCACTGGAAAGTCCCAAGAATTTCATGTGTATTTGATAAATATGACATTTAATAGTGTGTAATTATTCTATGAGTTGGATACCAAAGTCCATTTTTACAACTACTTTGTAAAGATTTTAGTGAAAATGAGTCTCATAGTTGCCATCCCTAGGGCATGTCGTAGCAGCAAACAATGGGGGGTTGCTGCACTTGAGATTGAAGAGAAGGAATGGTTGCAGCTGAGCTTGAGATTGAGGGTTGGACCTGAGCCTAAGATTGCAAAGAAGATACACACTTATAATGACAGCAGCTCACCATGCTATCCTGAGCAATGGCATTAGCCAATAACTCATCCAATTTTAGGAATTAGTTAAAACAAGTTAGCAGCAATTCAGAGGCTGTTTGACAACACTATTTTTCGGCTTATCGGGCTTATTAACCAACCTTTTCACCAAACACGTAACTTTTGTTTTCGCACGTTGAATTGTGTTATAAGCAGAAAAAGTAAGGTTGAAGCTACTTTTATGACTGTATTGACTGAAGTTATTGTAAATGACCATTTTAGCTATTTTATATATATATTTTCTTTATTTTATTTATAAAATATATTTTAAAAATAATTTTTTCTTAAATCAGCAAAATCATCCAATGCAGCCACTTCAGCCAGAATTTAATAAATTTCAGAGCAGAATCAGCCAAATCAGCCAATTTTCGTGCTACCAAACGGGCTCACAATTGAAATATGGCACTAAATGAAGATGTTCTCAGAGAATGTGAAAACAATGAGGATGACTCGACAATAACCTGTTGCATCACCTAGTTTTTATTGTCAAAAAACCATTACCTTCCATAATTTAAGACTTGAAATTTACACAAACAAGACTTTTAAAATATATAAACACAACTTACACAAATAAGGCTTTAAACACCCTCAGATTCAGAAATCCAAATCTAAGATAATAGTAGATTGTACAAATTTTTACAAATTATAGACTATGAACTACAACTAACATACTGATCATAGTACAACCATGGCCCTCATGAACTACCATAGCCCTCATTAACTACACCTAAGGTTGCAATCATTTATTTCTTTATATTACATATATCATGATAATCATTGCTACCGCAACAAACACCATTACAATTGTAGTCAACGATATATAATTTCTCCTTTGTTCAGTTTCAGATCGCAATGTGATTCGTAACTCAACAACTTCACGACGAACGAAGTGAATTTCCTTTTTCGTTCGAATGAGTTCCCTTTATTAACACCTAAGTCAAAAAAGAAATGAAACACATAACAAAACCTTGATAGTCATAACTCATAAGATTAAAAGAGGGACAAGGATTGTGTTTAGTAAAACAGTTCGCAGGCCCATGATAACAATAGGAAAAATGACAACAAAGGGAAAAGTACACCGTGGGTTGCAGTTTTTAGAAGTTCTTTATGTGATTCCAAAGGTTCCTCTAACTGATTTTGTAGAGCAGTAACACCAATGGAATGTCCATATAGAGTGTTGGGTGTTGTCAATTGTATTGCAATATAAATCATAGAACGTGAACATCATCTGCATTCTCAACTTCTGCATTAGATTTCTAGCCAAACCAAACTAAGATAATAATATCGATCCAATCAAATATTCATATAAGATCATAAAGAGTGAGTTACATCAGATTAAAAGATCCAGATCAAGCGAAACTAGAACTTAATAATTTAGATAGATTCCAAAACATGAGATAGAAAGAATCATATGTTAAAAAGGCCGTCAGAACAATTAATTAACCTTCTGATGTAGTTCCATTTGCATCCCTCAAGGAGAATTTGTCCTCTAATTGTACCAACGGAGCAAGATAGGATAGTGTCATAGTGGCAATTTGGGGTTACCCCTTTTTAAAGCTTCTTCCCTGACTTCGTTGGAGAAGTTTCAAGCCTCAAATGCAAATCTAGAAATCGGTTCCTTCATTTCCGGGTTTCTAATTGCTCGCACATAAGATCCTAGATTTGAAATCCTCTTCCATGCCCCCTTAGGCACAACCCTCTGTCAACACCAGACCAATGAGCAAACTTCCATGAAAATTGGAGAGAAAGAACCCACCGCACCACTCTCACGAATCTTGCCCATCTGAACTAATAATTTTGACAACAATTAGCGCAACATGAAGTGAATACTTCAGAAACGATGAAATTTTAAGCAGACACAAATGCATAATAAAAAGGAAGCTTACGGAGCTTATTTGGGATTTTGTTTGGACTGCCGGCCGGCTAAAGCGCACATATAAGATTTGCAAAGTCGATAAGGTCTGCAGATGCGAAGGAGGCGATTGAACAGTAAAGTCGAACGAAGCAGAGATAAGACAATTCACAGAATGGGAACGACATGTTTTAGGACGGAATTACAAACACAACGTTGTTGAGGGATCACTTTGGCAATTGTATATTTTTTAAATGAATAGCTGATGTGGAATAGATACCAAATAATATCACGCCATGTGTTGAATGCACGGAAACATCCCGTATCGTAGATGTACCGAAGAGGTTCCCATATTTTTATGTATGTAACATATTGTTTGCTCTAGTTATACACATATATGTCATTTTTATGGTTCTATTTCTTAGTTTTATACATGTTTATTTAAATATATTTAAATTCTTACAATCCCCATTAAAATTGGCATTTCCCTTTTTCGATACATTTGAGTGATGTCTGATTCATAGATTTTGGAAGAATCTTAATTTAACTAATATGTGAAGATAAATTAGAAATGATACTGCTGAGTTTAGAGTAGTCCAATTAAAATGGTGAGAGCTACTAGAAATATATTCTGAAATAGTGTGTCACTGGAAGTCTAGAACAATCAATAACTCTTGACCAAAGTTTGCTGATTTGGAGGTGATTGTAAGCTTATTATTCAAATGATATGGTATTATTATTGCATATTCAATTTTGAGATGAATTTCACGATAATTTGGTAGGATTCACAACACTCAAGGTGATGAAAGACATTAACGATTTTCTTTAAGAGTTTGCTAAATTTGATTGTCTTAATTTATTTTTGTTGTGGAGGTTCTGAAAATTGGGACTGGGCAAATTGGTTTTCGGTTCGGTTTTTATCGGTTTCGGTTCGGTTCGATTTAGAACGGGTTGGAAGAATTATTACCAAACAAAAACCATACTATTTTTCAGTTTGGTTCGGTTCGGTTCAGATTTGTTAATTTTTAATAATATATGAATGTTTTTTTTGAATTTCTTTAGTTCAGTTAGGTTTTGTTCGGGTTTTATCGGTTTCTGTTCGGTTCGGTTTAATACGGTTTGGAAGAAATAGTACCAAACTCAAACCAAATTGCATATGGTCCGATTTCGGTTCGGTTTAGTTCGATTAAACCAAACCGTTATGCACACCCCTACTGAAAATCATGTGTACGACTTGCCGCTAACTAGAAAGTAGCACACATCCCTCTTATTCCATTTCACACTCCTCTATCCGTCCTCCGCTCTCAATACGATTTAGACATCAAATTAAAAGAACACAATAATATGTTTCCTTTCGATAATTCAAGCAATGATAGCATACACATAATACAAAGACCATCTCAATTTTTTGTTATACCCACGAGGAGATAAAAACATGGTGATTACATTCATAATACCTAACACAAATTAAACATAGCTTGATAGGTTGTGGGACTATAAAAGTAGTATGTGCTAATAAATTGAATGCAATTACAGGATAATTATTCATTGTTAAAATAGACTATGAAGCTCAATAAAACACAGTGTTTTTTAGTTCATTACTAATGGATAGATAAATCAAGTTATTTGTGTTGGATGGTAAAATCAAGATGTGTATGTTATGTTTCTCTCCATTTTCTAATTGGCATTAATTTCTTTTAATATATAGCTGGTGCAGTAGTCAAAAAAGTCAATCTAGTGGTGGTCTAAATTTGTGTGCTTCCAATGAACCAGAATGTTCCTTATTTATAAATCGTCCACCTTTATGTTTCTCTCTTGACCCTAGTGTAGCCATCGAGTCATCGTCTTTATGATTATCATTATCACTCTAGTTGTTTTTTATCAATAATAAATAAGTTCATTCACCAAAGGTACACACCACTCTCTATATATGTTCCAGTTTAAAAATTTTGTTTTTTTTGTAATAATTGATTGGTATTAAGTTAACTCTTTTGTGATTAAAAAAAGGATGCAGTTCAAATAAAAAGAGTACTTTATGTGAAAATGTGAAATTCTCACTTTTACTTCACTGTAATGCAGTTTTTAGTTTAAAAGAACTGGTACCTCATACAACATGTTTTAAAAGTTATGAATTTCTATAAAATTATCAATTTCATTAGCATATTTATTTAAAAAATGACCTCTTAATATAGATCAAGATGGCAAGAATGGTTATGTTTTCAAAGTAAGAACATTAATATGATACTTTAAGGTCCGATGCAATGGATTTGAAGTACTAGAATGATGTAGTTGAACATTTCCCATTATCATAATGTGATTTCATAGTTCTAATAAATGAATATAATAAAAATACTTCATGTTTCCATCCATTTAATTTCCAAATAACTCCTCTCTGATTGACTTTTCAAGGGAGATTTGGTTGATGTTTGACCGGCCACTTTTTTTAAAGCATATGCTTTTAAAATATATAATATGTTAAACAACTTATGCGTACTACTTTCATCTGTATAAATTGTTATTGTGTCATTTTGCTACGTCCATAAATATATTTTTATTTGGAAAAGAAAGAAATATAAATCTACTAAACTACCATCAGATAATTGTTAATCAGTGTCCGAAATTCAACTATTAAAGTAGAGTATCTTTAAACTCTTTAAGTGAAAGAAACAATGTTTATGCAGGCTATTCAAATTAACTTTCTTGCTATAAATTGGTATACCTTTGAAATTGATGGTCAATGTGAAAACAATTTGACCTCAAAAGTCAAATTGAGATGTTAGAGCATCTCTATCGAAGGGAGGATGGTTAATCTCTTCCACACTCATGAGTGTTTCATTTTTACTCACAACTTTTATATTTAGGACCTAAATTTCTTTATATTTATTGTAATTTTCATTTTTTATATCATCTTTAACCCAATTTTCATCCACTTTTGCTTTTCGAGTCCGATTTAAAGTCTATGTGTGGATTCTGTCATATATATTATCTAATTTATTTCTATCTATCTCTTTTTCATTTTCTCCTACACACTACTTTCTTTAGATTAGTTTAAAATAATCATCTTATATCTATATCTCTTTTATGCCATATGGATCGAAATGGAATTCATTGTAATCTACTTCCTCGTTGGAGTTGCTCTTAAACCGTTTTGTAGTCTTAGGGTATTTTCAAAATGTTAAATTAAAGATGAACATTTTGAACACCTAAATTCATGTATTGGGTACAAATTGACAGGATTTAAAATGGAAAAGGGAACGGGAGAAGTTACATACCGGTATGGAGGAAAGATAGAAAAATAAAAAGAAAAGAAAAGTGGGGAGAAAGGGTAAAAAGGCGGAAGTGACTCTTTTTTAAAAGCTTATAACTTTTGTATTTGTACACACAATTTTACAAACAATATTTCAAAATTCATAACTTTTTATGATATTTCATACGACATGAATATGCACATATATTGTTTTTAAAAAATATAAAATCCCAAATGCTAGAGTATTTAGGGGAAAACAACAAATACTAATTTTTAATATATTATGCGTCGTCCACAAATAACGGAACATTATATGAACTCGTTTTATTTTTTATCAGGTGAAAAAAGTAAAAAATATCAAAATGTTATTTTTAATATCAAAATGTGTATTTTTAATTTCATGATTATTCAAAAAATATCAAAGAAATATTTCTTGTAATAACTAATGTTTTACTAAAGTGATATGTAAAAAATATGATGTAGAGTATTTTACTAATAATGCTGGAATAGAGGAGAAAAATGTATTCAACTGTTTTCATATATTCATATAAATGAAATTCATACTACATACTATGTATTTAAGTTCCTAAGTGGTGCATGAATAGTAATGTGAGAAGGCCACTTTTGGAAATTAAAAATGATGTTTTTGTTTGAAAAAAATGTAGTGCAAGATTTAACCTCGAATTCTCTAGTGTTGTTATGAAACTATTCATTGTTATAAAATCTTTATTATATTCCATGAAAGTACTTTCTACTTAGACTTGAACTAAAAAGAACAAACCTTCTTCAAGGTAATCTTTGTGTGATGCGGCGGATCCTACCACCCAAACTGTGCACATAAAGATTCATTTGCAAATGATTTGGCAAATTCTTAGGACACACTAAAAGCATCTTGCGATTGAATCTTTCCCTATAAGAAAGAGCATTCTTCGGAGAATTTAAGGGTGCTTAAAAATAAACATTCATTGTAACTGTGAAAAGTTCCTTTAATTAATTAGTCCTGACCTGATCTAAAAAATGAACGGTCAATTCCAACCCATATGCACATCAACGTTCATGGTAATCCTATTCCTTATAATCAGGCCCTCCAAAGCCGCCTTAAACACATCGGCGGTCCAGCACGGGGTTAGCGACGCGGCGGCGACGGGACAAGGTCGGTGGCAACTTCTAATGGAAAACACCGGAGTTGTGGCAATGCACATGGCCTTGACCCACCGTAACACGGTCGTGTTCTTCGACCAGAGAGGCTCCGGTAGGTCCGGCTTCCAGCTCCGGCGCCGGTTCAACGGCACTCGATGCAAGGGCACCAGGGAAGACCTGTCGGACCCAGCTTGCTACGCTCACTCCGTCGAGTACGACGTTTCCAGCAACACCATTCGGCCCCTCCATTTCATCTCCGACACGTGGTGCTCCTCCGGCTCCATCCTTAGCAACGGCACCATCATGCAGACCGGAGGGTACAGAGACGGCTCCCGCCGGATCCAGTACTTCCCCCCATGTACGAACAAGCTTTGCGATTGGAAGACCGGGAAGAAACACTTGTCCGATGAGAGATGGTACGCTTCTAACCAGGTTCTCCCCGGAAGGAATGATAGGGTCATTATAGTTGGCGGGAAAAGGGCTTTCACTTATGAATTCGTTCCTAGGTTGTCCACCATGCCTAAACCCGTTGACCTCCCTTTCCTCCACCGCACCTTCCAGAGGAACGCCGGCGGAAATAACCTCTACCCGTTCCTCCATCTCTCCGCGGACGGGTACCTCTTCATTTTCGCTAACCGTGACTCTATTCTTTTCAACTACAGAAAGAATAGAGTCGTGAAGGAGTACCCGCGGATGCCCGGGCCCGGGTCCAGGAACTACCCGAGCACCGGGTCATCTGTGATCCTCCCATTGGACTACAGGAATAACTTTCAGAAAGTGGAGGTCATGATATGCGGCGGCTCTCGAGCGGGGGCGTATGCGGCGGCTAGACGCGGGAGGTTCCTAAACGGGCTCAAGAGCTGTGGGAGAATGGTGATCACCGGGAATAAGCACAAATGGAACATGGAAAACATGCCCCGACCACGACTGATGAACGACATGCTGCTGCTCCCGACCGGCCGCGTGCTGATTATCAACGGTGTGATGCGGGGTTGCGCTGGGTGGGGGAACGGAGCGAGCCCCGCATTCGAACCGTATGTTTACAACCCGCGAAAGCCGGTCGGGAAGAGATTTTCTACTCTTCGGGCGACCAAAATCGCCCGAATGTACCATTCCACGGCAACGCTCCTCCCTGACGGTAGAGTCTTAGTTGCCGGAAGTAACCCAAACGACGGCTACATCTTCAACAATGTTGCCCACCCGACCGAGCTCCGATTGCAGGCATTCATTCCAGACTATATGGAACGTAAGTTTGATAATCAAAGACCGAAAAATGTCTCGATTCTCAGCGATGACGGCCCTCCCGGGGCCGCCGTCGGGTACGGGATGGAGTTTGGGGTGAGATTCACTCTCGAGGGGAGGAGGCCTACTAGAAACGTTGACGACATCACATTTACCGTATACTCGCCTCCATTTACAACACATTCAGTGGCGATGAACCAAAGAATGTTAAAGCTTAAGTGCGTGAGTATAGAGAGGGATGAGGATGGAATGATACATAATGCAGTCCTGGAGGCTCCTCCATCACCAAATGTTGCGCCGCCAGGCTATTATATGCTCACTGTTGTGAACGCAGGAATCCCTAGCATTTCAAATTGGGTTAGATTCGCTCATCTTTAATGAATGATTTTACATAATACTCTGTAGTAGCAATAGATATTAATGATAATAAGTCAATTTCTAACTGTACTTTCATTCATGTTACATTACCTTGCTAATTGCTATGATAGATCAATTGATGTATTATACTTCAGATAATTCAATCATATAGTAATGATGGCATATTGTGATTTACTATTCATCACTCTATTGTGTTATTGATTTTTGAAAAAAGAATTTAGCTTGTAGGAACATTTAATAAAATACAACATGATGATGACATCAATCGAGTAATGATTTACTCCCTTAATCAATTTATGATAGTTGTCTATCTCCTCTTCTAAGACTTTTTCACAGACATTGGCTTGATATACACATCTTTCTTTGACTCAAACATATATGGATTTAATGCTAAGTATAAATCGAAAATATTAATCTTGGGAGTATTAGTGTTTACTTTGGTTGAATTCATGTGATTTAAAATATTAAAAATTGATCAATATACTACTATATGCTTAGTTTGGTTGACAAGGCATTTTCTCATGATAATTTTAATTTATTTTTTATATATTGCACGATAGAATGAGTTATCACACTTTGCATGTTTCAACGATTTCTTTGTCCCGTGCAACGCACTGGTAAAAGACTGGTAGTTAATAAAATATAACATGATATGGTAAGAAAGTAACAATAAAGTGGAAATGTATGATTATGATTGAGTAAAAAAAGATAAATGAAGCATTTTAATTATTTGGAATATCCAAAAAGGTGAGTGAGAAGAATTTTATGTGGCGGAGGAAGCACCTTTTAATATATACTCAACTTTACTACTCCTTAGTCCTTACCTAATTAGTGACAATTTATAGGAACAGTGAAATTATGAAAAGCTACACCCCAATAGTCCAAAAGACTCAATTTAGGATCACTAACTCAACCACTCACTAGTCACTATCTAGGATTGAATTGGAACCAAACTCGAAGATTGGGTTAAAACTTTCACGAATTGACTTTTTCTCATCCCAAAAGATTAGATGTATAGAATAATCGACGGGTCATCAAGTTGATCAGCTCAAGGTTGATGTTGCCCAATGCAGTCTGGAGTCTTAAACAATAAATGGGTCGAATTCAACAATTACTAGCTAGCCTTTTGTGTCTTGGGGCTCTTAAACGTGTTTTAAAAGCACGTGTAATATTGTTGCCTTGCAATAATCCAATAACAATGGTGGGAGTCAAAGCATCTTGTGCAAATTACCCGTATAGTCTATTTTTTGGTACATGATATCATTTATGGCCCAACTCATCTTTCTTTTCATTTTTAACTTTTCAATTTTCAATATTGGTTTTTTATTTCAGTTTTAGGTTGTTTCACCGATCCCCCAAATAGAGTAATATCACGAGAGACGCAGAGGAGAGTGATTTTCCGAGACGCAGAGAGCGACGGAGAGATGAACAAGAGATTTCTGATCGGCGTTTTTCAAATCAAAGATACAGAGAGACGGCCATACAGAGCGACTTCCAACTCTCATCCCAGGGAAGGTCCATAGCCGCAATTAAGCATGACCGATACAGAGAGACGGCCATATCAGACTTATTTCGCAGCTTGAGAAGCTCGAATCAAAGACTGTGTGATAATGCGTGATGTGAGGAATGAGATAAATAGAATCCCACATTATGAGAGAGAGATATTAGATCGGTAATTGCTGGTTTCCAGAAATGATGAAGAGTCATATATCGAGAAATTTGCCCGTCCTCACATAGCAATGCTTCTTAGGTTGTTCCTCCGCCCCTTCTGCCCTTATTTTTAATTTGTTAGCAATTATCATTCAGAAAATAATCTCCTTCACTTTTTTTCTTTTTGCTAGGGAAATTACAAGTATAATCTTATGACGGTTCACTAGAACATTCGTTTTGCTAACAATTGAGCTTCAAAGTTGAGTTGTATCAAGCCTTGGGGGCCTGATTATTCTGCAGTGACTCGGTAGTGCTTCAATGTCTGATTTTCTTATTTTGAAATGTTCACTTTGTTACATTTGTTATGAATCATTTTTTGTAAACATTAGTTCTTTATTTGCTGCACCTGGAAATTTCAGCACACACATATGAAAAAATAAATGATGGTTGATATAGGTTCCATTGAATTGTTGCCTTGTATTTGTGTAGGAGACATATTCAAATATCAGTTACATAGATATGGAGTCACTCAAATGGGATATAATACTTAAATATAAGACTAATGGCTATCATGGTTATAATCTATATATGTCTGGTTGTTTACTTTGAGACTAAGACATAAAAGTTGAGTTCGTTAACATTCACGTCCTAGTGTTCAATTATCTATTTTTCTGTTTGAAATTGCAACTAGCTGAAAACATGTTTACTTAATGTCAATGGATTGTGAAAGAAACTGGGTGCTAAGGAACACCAGATACATAATGTGAATCCTCAAGTTGAAAATGTGTTTAAAAGGCTATATTACAGGCATATTGGAACTAATCAACCCCTTGTTATTGAGGTCACTAATAATCTCTCCTATATTATTCCACATAACCAAGTAGGAAATGCATTACGACATTACTTGTAGTGACATAACCAATACCAGGCAGTAAGATTGTTAAGAGACTATATCTTTTAGCATTAATCATTCTCTTTAACTATCAATTAATCTTGCTATGTTTTTCATATTGCAGGTTTAGGAGAAATAACTAATCGTCTAAGCTAAGAACTACTGTGTTGTGTTTGTTTATGTATTTCTATATAGCTGATGTAGTTACTACCGGTGCAGGTTTACAAAAATCTAAGAACCAACTCAATATAAATTATTTATTGATTGTAGTTGGGCTCCTCTCTTCCCATTCTTATCAAATCAATATCTTAGGTTTAGATTGAAATAAATGCTTTAGCGCCTCTATACATGTTGCATTGAACTGGAGTGAAATACATTGGTGGGTATGTGATCATGATGTACTCCGAGGCAGATGATTGAAAAATGTAAAGGAGGTGTTCCATGACTGGCTTGCTTGAAGTGTTTTCCCATTGTAGGTAAGAGAAAGAGAGGAGAGACTTCCCAAGCAATGGGCATTTGGTTGATGGAATGCTTGTTGTGAGCATTTGTAACTAGACATCTAGCTTCCTTTGCCTTTCTTCTGTCTTTTATGTTTTACCATATACATGACTTGAAATGCTATATTATTGTGATTTATAAACCCGGTGTGATATATTGTTGTGGATTTTATGTAAATCCCTACATATTTATACAAGTTTTACTAAGCTCTCATATTAGTGTGTGATTGTTGTTGATGCAATCCATCTACATTACATGGTAGTCTTTTGTATATTGTTGTTTCTTTTTGTTGCATCGTGTTTCTTTTGTTTCATCATGTTGATTATTGTTGTTTATAGGTGATTTCAATTTTTGTTGTTTATTTATTATATCTATGTTTATCTTTGCTACTTGGTTGAAGTAAAAAATCATGTATAGACTTGTATTCAATCACCTAAAATGAGAAATTTGGATTTATAAATATAAACCAACCACATGAAACATAATGAAACAATGAAAAACAAAAAAAAATCATAGGTATCAACAAAAAGAAACAATAATCAACAAAAAGAAACAGTAGGCAACAAAAATACAAAAAACTGAATTATAATATTTGTATTTTTTTCAATTGTTTAGTGTTTATTTTCATTCTATTAAGTTTAATTAATTTTCTACTTTTTAATTTTTAAATAATTTTTTATCTATATTTTATTTTAGATCATTTAATTGAACTTTTTAAATTTTTTCAAATATTTATATACATATTTTTTGAATTTATAATTTTTCCAATTTGTATATATTTTGAATTCTAAATAATGACTGGTTCAAAAAAGTATCAATATCCTTTCATAATTTTTAGTATTTTAAAAAAAAATTAAAATTTTTTATTCGTTTTTAAGATTCTAGATATTTTAGATTTAATTTAATTTTTTTATTCTGTGAGATTTTTTATTCTGTTTTTGCTTTTTATTCTTTACCATTAATATATATCTTTTGTGTATTTTGTTAATGTTATAAAATTTCAAATTTTTATATTTTTTATATAAAGTCTTCTAAAAAATAACATTATAAAAAGTTGTTGTTTTTTCTTCAAATTTTCCACTTTTTAGTTTTGTATCACCTTCCTCATTTTGCTTTCGAGTTTAGTATTTCCAAATTTTCTATACATTTCTTAACATTTTTCTGATTTATTTTGTAAATTAAAATTCCTTTTTGAATTTAACTTAGAAATTTTCGACACAAATATTCATTATTCATTACTTGTTTTTTATTAATTGGATTACTTTTTTATTTTTATTTTAAATTTTAATACTTTTACTATTTTTCTAATTATCATCATCTTTTTTACATTTTACTAAATATTTAAATTTTTTCTATTTTAAAAATATAAATGGAGTAATTCTTAGAGTTTGTATAAATTTAACCAAAAGGTGTAATTGAGTAGCCTAGCCGCCTAGGCTCCACTGCCAGCACACGTTCCTTTTCTTTTTTTGGCAAGCCCCGCCCCTACACACGTACGTTCCTTTGAGTAACATTCCAGGAGGCTTGTTTTATGGGTATGGTCTTTTTTTGAAAAGAAAAGTTGTGTAGTCTAATTTTGAAAAGAATTTTAAAAGGTGGAAAAAGTGATATTACTCTCTCTTTTTAGTTTGCTTCCGTAAAATTCCCAAGCATCTTTGTCAAATTTTGAAGGGCTTGATGCTATTACTATACGTGTTGAGAAGCTAATGAGAACTAGATCTATAATACCGTGGTGATATGTGTAGAGATGTATTGAATATTCTAGAATACAACGGTGATGTGTAGAACATTATAGAGCTTTCTAGAGAAGCGCAGAATTATATAAAAGCGTGTGAAAAAATGTAAAAATATTCTAGAGCACTATAGAGTATTCTAGAGATCATTTAGAATCGTGTGGATATGTGTGGACGTCTCTAGAAGAATTAAAAGAAATGTAAAGTTATACAGATCCTTACAGAATATTAGAGAAGCTTCCAGAATATAAGATGATAATTTTTTTCCATCTTAAGTACGGATGTCTAAAATTGGACTCAAACTTTCTAATCCGGTCCATTCTGGTGTGAAGAGATCGTTATATGCATGTTATATGTATAATTTATAATCGTCAAAGTTTAGTTTTTTTTTGCTCTGACATAATTTGATAT